TTCTTCACTGGCCTCATCAACAGGAAACAGCGGGACAACGATATGGGCACGTTGCCACCTAGATGCCAGCCTGACAACTACTCGTATTCCAGCGGCAACCCTTTCGAAGGGCCCTTCTCACGCCGCCTATTTAGGCTCTATATTCTCACACCTCCCGATTTTGCATTCCGTACACACCACTTCAAAGCTCGTCCTAACTCCCTTGCTATGCAAATCCAACAACATAGCCGCACATATTCTGATCGATGCCGTCAACCCTTTCCGGACTTCTCGGGTCATACTGATCATGTTGTAGTGTAGTGCACAGTACTGTGCGACCAGCAGTGCAACATTTATTGAATACGTCGCACCACCACACGTTAGACTTATTTTCTCCTGCTCATATGTACGCGGCGGTTTAAAGTTTAGGTATGGGTGTGTTACGCATTGCGTTCATACACCGAGCCGCTGTAAATGCCTGGCAGCAGCAGCATCAACAGTAGCAGTAGCAGCAGCAATAACAGCAGTAGCAGCAGCAGCAGCTGGCCCCAAGCTGCCCTTCAGTAAACAACCCCGCGCCGCCGCACCCAGAACCCGCCCTCTGTCGCTCCTCACATTCCGCTACCTGGGCGCTTCCGCGTGTCGTACTACCCTGTTATCATCTCCTCCCAAAACTGGATCCATGTATGCGCTATTAGGTACCGAATCAAGCTCAGGATTTGGAACTGGAATCTGCTCCAGGGTTGGGGTTCGGATCCGACAACGACTTAAATTCGGGCTTACTGGCGTTATAAGGTAGAGGGCTGGGTTTATTAGGCTCCAGCTCAGCACTAGACCCCAAGCTGGTTCCGAATTCGGATCCAAATTCGGATCCAAATTCGGATCCAGGGTAGATCTTCGGTACCCAGACCTGCTCCCAGGTGGTGGATTTGGGCGTCTGTGCCCAAAACCCTGCCTTCGCCGGCAGACCCAGCGGCAAAAAGATCGTACTCGCGAGGTACAGGCTTCCCGTACTGATGTACACTTGCGCCAGCCATTTCTGCTTCCCTACTAATCCTATCTGAAGCCACCCGTCTGAGTCAAACGAGCGCTCGTCTAAAGTTCTATTAATGACTCTGGTCAACGCAACACGAGCTCGTGCTGGAGCTAACGTTTTTGGAAGTTTGTTTTTTAGCGCTGCTAGCGCCATTATTTGGAAAGCGGCACCGCGGTAAACAATGGACCTGCCAATGGGAGGATACGAACCGTCCGGTGCAATCATCTGCTCCAAAACCGCCGCACTGTGAGGGACAGAATAATTGACCAATTTTTCCAGCTCCTCAAGGTAGCTCACGTTGTAACCGGGGAAGAGCTCCGAATGGGGCTTACGTGTGGCGCGCAGCGCCGCGAAGATGTCGTACAACATGGGCTGGATGACGTACGAGTTGTAATAGTTCCAGGCGAACAACTTCCCATCGCCCCACCAGCCTTCTCCCAGGTACCACGCCCTGGATGAGAGAGGGGGACACGTGTGTGGGGTTTTGGGGGGTTGAAGGGGGGGGACGGGATGGGAGAGGCAGTTTGCTGGCTTGTTGGGGGAGCCGCGGTTCCCAAGTAAAGGAGCACCGGCCACTAGCCACAATAAAAGAGGGAATGGAGAGGAGAGAGGAGAGAGGAGAGCGTAATACGGAGAGGGAAGAGGAGTGGGAAACAAATCGAAACACATCAAAGACGCCTCTTCCCGGATTTCCCCTTACAAGCACACGGAATGACAGGTATTCGCAAACACACACAGGGCCCGCATGCACATTCCCGGGACAGACATACAAACCTGTGCATTTCAAGGCCGCTCAGTAATCGCTCCACGTTCACGTGCTCGCCAATCTTAAGGAAAAAAGCCTCAATGATCGAGGCAAACAGCATCCAATTGTTACGATGGGGCGGAATCCCCCGCGTCAGTCGTAGCGCCGAAACCACGTTGGCCTTTGTACGATCATCCAAACGATCCCAGAGCTCCGTGGGCGCCCGTAACAGCCCCTGAGCCAGGAAAGCCGCGTCTACCAGAGGCTGGCTCCGATCGCGGCCGGTGAATTCCATGTACTGCGTAGAGTTCGGATCTGTGCCCAGAGCGATGGCCTGTCTGCACGGATACACGGGAAAACAGCCGCCGACAGGGCCGCCGACGGCATCAGGGGGGTGGATATCTGTCAGTACAGAAAGCCGCAGACTCACGCAATATTCCGATGGGGGCCACACTGTCATTCCGTTAGAAAGGTGGCGAGCGAGGGGAGAAGACCAGTGAAAATGGTCAAAAGGTTTTCGCGTCTCCCGGCGGTTCATCGAGACAAAAAAATGAACATCGCGACATTATTTTATTTTCACATTATTAATATTATATGAGATTGAGCTTTAGTGGTGTTAGGTGCTCGTACACGCCGGCTGGTAATCTGTCAATCTTGGCGTGTGTGTGTTTGTGTGACATCGGAGTCTGTATGAGTACGTGTGGAAAACGAGGTAGTGGCACGCGTTGGAAAGGGACGTTGCGATACGTTGGATTTCGTGTTGAAAGATCTGTCCCTTACCCACTGGGCAGTTTCCCCCCTTCCGGAACGGGGGAAACGGCTGCTGGGCGGCAATGCGATGGTCGGCACATGGCCGTCCCCCCGTTAGCCTTTTGATTTCATCCACAAGGCTGAGGGCGGATCAGCCGGAAACCACCAGAACACCCGAAAGCGTTAGGCGTTTCCGAGAACGCAAAACATGCAACATGTTCTTTTCCTATGTTAGCCATCATATATTATATTTAGCAATATGGGCCAGTTGGAGAACATTTTATGAAGCTCTTCTGGATGAGTGCCATCTGGTAAAAGTCCGATCGTAGTTGCGGGATGATTCCGTCGAGAATCAGACGACGGTTGTGAAAATCCTGTGTCAAGATTGCGTTCTAGCTCGCGTTCATTCGGCTACCCTAGTCGCCACTTGTCACTAGTAGATTGATTTGAGCGGGCCCGTGCTGCGTGGAAGTTAGACCTCGTACTTTTAGCTTCTGCCTTGCCCATGGATTTGTGTGATACCAAACTTGTGTGGTTTTGTACAACCTAGAGGTAAGGAAAATGCCTGCAAAAAGGAACTGTTAACAGTATCAGTAACTTGTTGGCGGCGCATTTCACATCAAACACATGGCTTTGCATCTCTTATGTGGCCTAATCCTAGATAGCTCAGGTGGCACGCGCCCTGGAGGCGTGCTGCCCAAATTCGTGTGCAAAAATGCAAAAAATGTTTCGAGACACGGCGCCTAAGCAATTGCGTTGTGTAAAGTAAGGACTGGATTGTGGAAGGAGCGCCCGTTGCAACTACGGGAGGTCTTTGGATTACCCAAACGTTTTGGCCCGAATGTGACTGGACTTTTAATTAGGAGTGGAGAATTACAGCGTAATAGACTTTTTGGACCGTAAGTTACGCAAAGTGTAAAGCGCAAAGCGTCAAATACCGTATATTACGGTTTGGGGCGTCGTGAGACCAACCGTAATGCTTTACAGTCCCGTACCAGTGGCCATTTTCGTGAACCCAAAACATTTTAGTAATTATAGTAACATTAAATAACATTTTCTTTTAGCTGCTACGTCTGTTCGCGTGGTTCATGTGTAACAATGGCCGATGAGACACCCAAACAGCAGCCCGTGGTCATGAAAAAGCTGAACAACATTCTTAAAAGTAGCACAACTTTGCTGGCTGGAGTGGCGAGGACCCCAAGCGGCATACCGCCGGACACGGACAGCGATGACGACATCGCGATTGGCGCGCTCGCACGGAAATAAATGCACGACCACTTCAGAATGAGCAGAGTGCTGATTTCTAGTATCATTGTTTACATAGTTACCTTGGTGCTGGTATAGATCTACTTAGTTGTGGCTATGTTGAGGTGCGTTTTCGAACTTCGAAGCAAGGTTTTCGCGGCAAATCGGACATTTTCGTCTTCCATTAATTGCTCTAGAATGGATGTTAGATGTTATATGTTGCTTTGGAGGCGCGGTGGCGTGTGGACATCTGACTTCCGGTGAGGACAGGCAAAATGGACACCGTAATTGACGTTACGCCGTCACACCGAAAACTTACGGTCATTTTTGGGCCCTACCGTAAGTGCTTGAATGTAAATGCTCGTCGCTCCGTACCGGACTAGCGTGAAGTGGGCCTTTGCGTCCAGCCTTACACCCGATCCCAATGTTTAATCAGGCCACACCACATCCCAGCCACACCGCCTTGCGGCTCGTCTGCAAGGCTCAGCCTTGTCATGTCTCCGGGCTTCCTTGGATCCTCGCTTTCGCTATCTTTCCTGTCGTACTCTCGCGCCTAGTCGGCCCTGCCTTACCTCAAAATGAACACTACCTCGGTCGCGTAACTCGGCCTGAAAGGGGTGAGGATGTGCGGCAAACGCCTCCGCGCTTTTATGGGTAACGTTGCCAGCCTAGCTCTCCCCAGCGCGGCCAAACCTGATGATCGAGACACAGTCCGGCTTCTCCTCGGCAACCTTGTGCACTACTCGCCCGTCTGGTCAAAACGGGGTTTAAGGTACAGAACGTCCTGGCGGCTCCACTTTCTCCAGTCTTGGGTGAAGGCGTCCACTGCTAGGGCGTGGGGCCTCCAATAGCGATGCAAAGAAGCACCCCTGGTACTTTTGTGGAGAATTCGTCTGCAAAATGACGACCGTGGCCCGCATCCTTTCAGGCATGTCTCCGCCCACAGGCAAGACCAGCACTTCTTCATAAATAGAGATGTAACATGAGCGTAAAGTAGACACCTTGCAAGCCGGTTATACTTCGTTGCGTTGAGCTTTTGCTACCATAATGGCTTTGTAAGGTCTTACAAGAACGGCGAGAAAATGGCCATGTGACAAAAAGCATCGAGGTAGCCAATGAGGTACACTACTGGTTTAGGTAGGGAAAAAAGGACGAAACTTTATGTAAGGGGGCCCCCAAATCGACCACTGGAACTCTCAGAAATGCTAAATCTTTTGAAGCCACCTCCGATCAGCTACTGCTTAACTCATGTCGCGACCGCGGGTGTCATTACCGTAGTGCCTGTAAGTTTCGATAACTCGCATATGGAACGTCGCCTGCAATAATGTGTTCAGGCGTTGTAATGTTTCAAAGTTAGTTGATGAACTTTTGGGCCAAATGTTTGATTTTGTCGTGACTTCGGAGCTAGCGGAGCTACGACTCAGGTGTACGGCGTGTGATATTGTTGATCGATAACTTGACTATTTGGGCGGACTCAATTATTGAGATTGTAAGCCTAAGTTGCGTTTGAAAATCCTGATTCTCGTAGACCACTCTCTCGGCAAGTAAAGTCAGCTTACGCTTCCCAAATGTTAGGAGCGGTTTGGTTCCTTTACAGTTGGTATCAGAGCCTAGGTGATCCACCTCGCCTTGCTCGTCATCATCGACATCGTCGTCGTCATCATCGTCGTCGCCGTTGTCGTTTACCATGGCTTCCATCCCTGAGATCGAATTTCCCTTAAGGCAGGTTTTCGGCGGTCGGTACGGTGCACGGAACCGTTGCCAGGGAACACATGTTGCAGGGTTACCTCGGTTGAACCAGGTTGAACCAATAAACAGAGGCCGTACTCTACATCCGAGTACTGCGATGCTGTACACTTCAAGTCCTTCTGGAATTTTAAATCAGCTTTGGTTCTTTCTGAAGTTGGATGTATTTGGCTGGTGTTCAAGAAGCCAACGACGCCCCCGCGGGATGAAACCCTCTAAAGCCATAGAATCCTCCTATCCACCCTCGCACGCAAGAGGGACCTTCTGTGGCTAGCGTTGGCGCTACGCCGCATCCTCCAGCCACGGTCTGTAGCGAATTGAGAATACGTGGAAATACTGTGCATGCTTGCTGTGTTTCGTGTATGTATGTATGCGTGTTCCCTGCTCGCTTTCCTTTCCTAGGCCATGCTCCCAAAGAGTCCCACATGTCGCGGCACACACACCACAGACACTGCTCACGGCTGCTGCCATTACCCCCAACATTTTCCAACCTTCATACCGAAGCAAAAAAAAGAAGAGACCAGACAGACAGACAGACAGACAGGCGGGTCTCAACTCCGCCGCCCAACCCCCAGCAGGAACAAGAGCTCCTGCCTCACCACCCCCAAAAAGGCAGCAACATCACCTTACATTTCCAACTCCCCTCCCCTGATCCGTAGCAACCTCTCCATTCCTATCCTCTCCTGGTCGGCCACCACGGCTGGGCTGCATGCACTAGGCTGCCGCTGGGGAACTGGCTTCCCTTCCATGGCCCCCCTTCCCCTTCTCCTTCCCCTTCCGTCCCTCCCCCTCACTCGTCATCCTCAGCGCCCTCAGCGCCGAAATCCCCGGTGACCCCCGCCGCGATGAGGTTCATGGCGTTCTGAGCCTCCTCCCGATCAAGTCGCCCGTTCTTGTCCTTGTCCGCCTGGTAAAGGAGGAGAGGGGAGAAGGGGGGAGAGGGGTTTTAGGGTTTTATGGGTGGATATCCACCCTCAACTCTATCCCCAGCCTGCCTTCACCCCTCCCTCCTCGCTACCCGCCCTTAACCAATCCAGCCGACCCTCACTTTACCCACCTAGCAGTGATTATTCCCAACGACAATCTTTCAGATGCTTGCCACTGCACTCCCGTCTAACGATGAGGAGAAAAAAGGCGCCTCCCTTTACTGGTGCCTTCCCCCCTTGAGCTTGGTACCTGCTTCAATCGTCTGTGGCTCGTCGTACAACCCCCCTTCCTCAAGCCGCGAGAGGCGCAAAAGGCAACGGCAATGTAATGCGATGTGACTACTCCCCCTTGCAAGACTCGCCTCAGGCAGGCCTGGGTCACCAACCCTACCCTGGGGTCACGTGCGTATGTACTTCGCTCGTATATTCCCCTGTTGTTGTTGTTGTTGTTTTCCTGCCCCCCCCATTTCCTCTCTCTCCTCCTCCCCATTCTCACCATCTTGAAGGCCACCGGCACCACCTCCCTCCCGCGCTCCCCGAGGTCGCCGAGGCCCAGCTGCAGCTCCTCCAAGCTCACACCCGCCTCGCCGTCCCGCTCCATCACCCGTAGCCAGCGCTCGTCCACCTCCAGCTCCAGAGCCATTCCCCGGGAGAACTCGTCCACGCTGGGAGGGGGAAAAGGAGGGGGAAGGAAGGGGGAAAGGATTGAGAAAATGCACTTTGGAAGGAAGAAATTGAGAGCGCGAGCTTGAAAGTGAATGGGTTGTGCACTTGTGCGCAGGTAAGCGTTAAAGGGAGGAAAAACTGCTAAACGAGGTGGTATGCAAGTGCCAGGCTGGGTTTCCATTTGAATCGAACTGCCAACCAACTCTTGAAATCCATTCAACAGTAAGATTGTTCTCTTTGATGTAAGAAAGTACTGGATTTGGTAATAATAAGGATAAGTTCATCGGTCCATTTATTTAAGTCAATTTAAGTCGAACTGTGAACCAATGCGGCGGCTTACGTCAGCACGGCGTCGTCGTTGAAGTCCACGGGCGCCATCACGTCTCGAACCACGGTCTCCCGGGGGAGCTAACGAGGGAAGGGGAGGGGGGAGGGGTATTTTACAAACCTTACATTATATGTTGGTGGTTTTGAGATAATCAGGTAATTTGTTTTCAATGGCCGACGGCACGGGGGAAGCAAATGGACACAGCTCCCAAGAGCGAGCCCTAGGGTTGCAAGGGACAAGGACGGGATCCTGGATCCTAGGGGGTCGTCATCAAGAAGATTATTTCATTCCGCATCGCATCCATCACAACCCGGATCCAGATCCAGATCCGGTTAAAGAGATTCGATCAGACATGGGAGATGCAGAAAACAGCTGCAACTAACCAACAAACTTCCCTTGGCAGGAGCAGGAGCGTCAAAGAAGCACTGACTTCCCGGGTGCAGCCGAACCCCTGCTGTGCCAACCCCCCATTTAAACACAGGCAAGCGCATAGAGGCGGATACACGCCTCCTCTTTTGAAGGCTGGAAGCCCTTCGCGGTACTGCCGATGCGTACATCAAAAAGCGAAGTGATTCAGCAGGGGCCTGAAGTACGGTGCTGGTGTTGGCGACTCCAAGCTCCCCATGCACCAGCAGGACCGTACAACCGTACGGCTCCACGGGGTGAACAATTGCCGACGCTCTGCCAGATCTTCTCCTACCCTATCTAGCCTTTATCTTCTTCGCAACATTACACAGTCTTCAGTACTTTCAATAATAAAATATTTCATCAATAAAACAATTGCTTATCATTTCCAGAGCAACATGAACTTTCCTGTTAAGGAGCAGCACTTTGCAATCCAATCGCTGCTGTACTGTTATCGTACAGCACCGCGCCGTATCGTACCGTGAGGCCACCGTTCCGTTGCAGGGCGCCCCGAATTTCGTCAACGTCCAGCAGCCCGTCCCCGTTCTCGTCCATTTTTTGTACGAGCGGTCGTACAAGATCTACGCAGATGCATAGTCATGGGCAAGTAATAAAGCCCCGGTTGACCGGAAATGACGAGGACCAGGGCAATGATACCCAGGAGGAATGGCCGGGTGAGATGAGAAAGCACTTCCCATCTGTACATTGAAACGCCGGTGGCGTGGGAAACAGCCACCTTAGCCCAAGCAGGGTGAGGAAGACGTGCGGCACCGTACTTCTCCCAAAGTTGGGGATGTATCATCGAGTTGTATATTCCTATAGATGTGAGCTTGACGAAAGCACAGTGGGCTTATCGTTACTCGGAGAGCGTAGCTCACCCGAAAGGAGAGGTCCCGCAGCACGGGCTCTGCTGGCGCTGGACGCCAGGCTGGCGACACTGGTGGCCAGGCCTAGCAGGACAGAGCGCCGGGCAACAGCAGCATCAGGAACTGCACGAACGCTTTCCGTAGTCCTGGTGGATGCAGGGTGGCTGCTGGCGCGCCCTGCAGCGCTCCGAAGGATGACTGCTTGACGCATCGTCGGTGGCTGGACTTATACTCTAATGATATGGGTCTTGTCTTGCTACACTTGCTTGATACACCTGAGAGAATAGCCCAGATCAATTTCTGAGAGGCGATGGGATCAAGGCTATGCTGTTTACGAAGGACGACGGCGGCGGGAGCTTGGATCATATGACAACATATTGTGTCAGAAGCACACCTGGATCAATTTGGCACACTGCAAGTTGATTTAACCTCTGCGAGGGAACACGACGCCTTGCGAATGGTATGACTAGGACAAGAGCTTCGTAATATGGGGAGACAATAGTGCTTGCGCACGGTACAAGTATGAATTATAAAACGGTGGCATTGATAAGAAGAACATGATACCTATGCAAACAAGAAGCGATCCACAATTCCGTACCTCCGCAGCGCAAGTTTGTCGTTCCATGCAAGGCAAAACAAGGTGCATAGACTGGGTCAGATCTTTCAAATCATTGATCAAGTAAGCATTACATCTGCACTACAAACAGTAAACAAACAACACGCAAGACATGAAAACCATTCTGCGCACGCCAGGCTGCGCAAGACCCCAGAAGGGCTTACCCCACCCATATCGACCTAGAGTACACCTAGCAGTGACCTTTCCTAATCCCGCTCAGCACCCGGCAACGCCACGACGCAGCATTCCTGCCTACAGCTTCTTCGATGGCCTTAAAAACCTGTTGCCGGGAAGCGGCGGCAACAAGACTCAGCCCAGCAGACAACAACAGGAGGAGCCACTGGATGAAGAGGAGGATGAGGGTTCTGAGATGATGCGTTTGGACTCAGAGAGCGGCGGGCTGGCTGAGGACCAGAGCGCGTTCGGTCCGCTGGTAAGCACATGGCCATTCGTTGCCTAGGCTATGATACCTTTGACCCATTTTCTTCCCCCCTGCCATCCTTCTTTTTCTCTTTCTCTCCCTTTCCCTGCTCTCTCTCTCTTCTTACTCTGGCCTGGCGGGTCCTGTTCACGCTTCCCTCTCGCATGCACAGACCCACATCCTAAATCCCCGGTTCCTATACTGCGCGTTCCCTTCCTCTCCAACCTTTAACGCTTGACCAGCTACCCTCCGTACCCCCTGCTCGTCACATCCGAATCTCAGGCGGTCCTGCTGGTGGGGTTCATGGCTGAGGAGGTGGAGCAGTTCCGTGGGCTCATGTTGGAGATGGAGGCGGACATGGTCAAAGTGAGGAGGCCCGGGTCGGGGGTTCTGGATGTAGATATGTGATGATGTGTCCATCATGATTTCTTAGAAAGAAGCAAGTTCAGCAAATTAGAAAAGTTGCAGTTTAATGTAAGGTACAACGCTCCTACGCGCCTGGTCTGAAGAAAGGTGTTGCAAATCCTATTTTACTCAGTGCGTGCCTTCTCCACCATTCCCAGGGATAGGCATATGTGATCCCGCACTATCCCGCATGAGGTGGTTTTCTTGCAGATTGAATGCTGCTCCAATCTACTGATGAATCATGGTGTCCTGTCTTATGTTGCAGCGGATCCCGAAGGAAGCGTCGTCGGTGCCTCATGCCGTACAACACGACGCATACTGATGTTAGCTTTCTAATTCTCAATGCACACCGTAAAAAATCCGAAATGTCGATTCGTCTTGAATCCCATGGCAGATCGTGCCTTGCTCTCCAAGCATGCTGGGTGGCACCTTGCAGCAAGCGTTGGAGACGGAGTTCCCACAGTACGAACAGGTAGGTACGACAGGTACGAATGAATTGAGCAGTACTTAGGGTTGTATTAGTACAGATTTAGGCGAGCAGCTTCCTGAGTGCCTTTATGTGTGTGGTGGTGGTATTCAGGGTGTGGACTCCCATTCTTCGTTGTCGGGAGAAGGCGCAAGGGAAAGAAAGAGAGAGAGAGAGAGGGAGAGAGAGAGGAAGAAAAAGGAAAAGGGAAAGGAATAGGGAAAGGGAAAGGGGATCCTGTGTGCGCTTTCTGTCGGTGACTCATTAGTCCGGTAGTCGACTTTTTACGTCTTTACAATGCTAGGAACGCTTCCTTTTATCCTGGACCTCCGTATACCTGGGCTTCGCTGATGCTCTAATCTAAATGGATGTGCATCCACCCTGGATTTTTCCCGCCCATCTCAACGTCAACCCAACACAGCCGCCACTGGGCACCCGACGCACAGTCTTTCTGAGCGGTATGATCGGAGCTGAAGTGGTGGAGGTGATTGCGGCGTACCGGGAGGCGGGTGAGTATCTCGGACCTTGGAGCAGAGCAGCAGCAGCATAAGGAGCAGTAGCAGTAGCAGTAAAAGCAGCGCTTTTTCCAAGACAATCAGCTGCTATCAGCTGCACGGGTAGCAGCTAGATGGCGTCGTTGTTTCGTTATTCGGCTCGCCTGGCCGCCTGCTTTCCTACCCTGCGCGCCGCTGCCTCTCCTCCCATCGCCTCACTTCGCACCTCTACTAAACTCTACTCGGCGCGCTTGGATGGATTTACGCACGTTTACACTCTTGCCTCCTCTGCAGGCATGCCCCCGACTGTGTGGGCTGCTGCGGTTCCCAACAACTACACCCGGGTGGTGAGGGAGCTGGTGGAGGAGGTGCATGCGGATAACGCCGCGATGGTGAGTGGTGACGGTGCATGGGTAGGTGGGTGATGTGATGGTGGGGGAGTACGTGGAACGCATGATATCAGCGAGCTCGTGATAGGTCCGTGGAGAGGGGGTGCTACGGGACTGGATTCGATGTAGGATTTGGTGAGCAGGGGCAACATAAAAATGTTTGAGGGATGGTAGAGGACAAGTTGCAGCAGGGCCCAGTAGCTCTGACTAGGAAGCAGGATGTGGCAGGTGGCAGCGTGACACGGCCCAAGGCCGGTGCCTACCTCTGGAGGCCGGTTATCGGTCCCGTCAAGTCTGGTCGGCGCTATCTTTTTCCAGTTTTTGAGAATAGCCTATGTCAACCATTCCACCATTTTTAAGTTTCCCGAAAAGAATTGCCGATGCTGAAGGATACGGAGTTGTCGTTCCCCCTGTGGTTTGCCCTCCGCAGATGCGGCGAGCTCAGGAGGAGCAGGCCCGTCAGGCGGCGCTGCAGGAGCTGGAAGGAGAGGAAAAGCAGCAACGGTAGACGATAGAAGGCTTCTGCGGCTAAGGCTGTGGGTTGAGGACGATTGGCATTTTGACCGTGACTACTTATAGACAGCAGTGCGCCAGTCGTGACGTATCTCCGGTGCTGGCGGAGTTCATGCCTAGGCATGTATCATTTTTCTCGTCTCCAGCTGGTAGACGTCTTATGAATTATGACGGCAGCTATGATTTTTCATAGTAACTTTCAGGTGAAAGCATTATGAATGATGAGACGCACCCGACGTCACACACGCATGTGCATCCTTTCTCTTCGTGAGCCCAAACCCTTGTGGTATCATATACTGGCGTATCTGGAATTGCGCTGCACCATGTCACATAGCCTTCGTCGTCTATGATGTCGTAGTTATATCAATGTAAGAAAACACGGAGGGCTCCGTAAACTAACAAGCGATTCATTATCAGAGTGGTAAATTTAATGAACTTGAGGCTAAGAGACAAAAGTAGACGCAGCACTCACATTAAACATAACCCCACGTGGCATATCAATTACTGCCTGCATTTATACCTTCGTCTTGTACATCTCGAATTTACGTCGATAGTTCGCGTCGCGCAGAGTGCATCGCGTGTTACGACGATTTTGAGCAAGCAGGCGCAAACGCACAGGGGCATACCCATCCAGGGGCATGGCTGCCGCAGGGAACATTCCTAAGCCGCAACAATAACCAGCCGCCGCCGCGACAACCCAAGCTACTGCAAATGCGCTGTAATGTCGAAAAAAGCCATCCATTGCACGGAAACACATTGCAGTAGAAACATCGCATGCCGAAACAACTTTCTGAAAGATGCCGACAGGCGAGTCCTCGAGCGTCTTCATGGCCGATGCAATGCAGGAGGGCATCAAAGCAATTAGATTGTCGGAACCCAAAGCCGTTGGTTGGATCAAAGCCGTACGTAATCCACATGCCAGATCCGAAGTCCTTCATGCAGCCCTCGGGTATCGCCTTACCTAGCGTTCGGGCAGCTGTTGGCCCAGTGACCTGGCGGCGGATCCGAGAGGGCAGGTGATGCAGCGAGTCACGTAGCGATCAGGGTTAAGACAAACGTTGGGTGCAACTTCGCCATCATGGCATGTGATATGCTGGTAACTACGAGGATGAATGTGAAAGCTTACGATTGGCAGCCTGTGACCTGCTAGCGGACCTACCAGGCTGACCGCATTTGTAGCAGTTGCCCTTGCCGCCACCTCCACCTCCGCCAGCGCCACCATGACCGTAGCCACCGGCCCCATAGCCCCCGCCGCCGCCACCTCCTTCCCGATTGAAGCGACTGGCAAAGGACTGTGGTGGACCTCCGCCGGCTCCACCACGGCCGCCGTAGCCCCCGCCGCCGTACCCACCACCCCCGCCACCTTGCTTGCTCGGACAGTCGCGCGCCCAATGACCTGCTCATGGCGTTACATGGTCATGTGAGGCGCAAAATCATATACCATGCAGTGCAACCTTGTCGCGCCTACACATGGCCATGGACTACCAACACATAACATTCATCATCAGTATAACCCGGCCTCGAAACTAAAAATATCAAAAAGCCTCTCAGCAACAGCGCGCCAGCACAATCCTGTCCAGGTAGCTAACCAGCCCAGCTTCCGGTCCCCATCGCATAACGAATGCAGCTCTTAACGAACACGACAGCGCGTTGTAAAATATCAAATTTTTATGCGAAAGCGTCAGTCGGAACTCACCGGTCTGATTGCACAAGTAGCAGGGAGCTCCGCCGCTGGCGCCGCCACCGCCACCGCCCCGGCCGCCAAAAGCACCGCCACCGCCCGCTCCGACACCGGCCGACCTCTGGGGGCACGAACTGGCAAAATGCCCTGCAGCAGGAAAGCGGGCCGACCATAGCGGTAGAAATAAGACTGGATGACGGTAAAAATGCTTTCTTGACCCGCATACGAACGTTCTGAACAGCACTCGTGTGATGGCATGGCGTTATGTCAAGGCCGCCTTCACAGAAGCTTGCAATAGGAGAGCATCTCAGCAACGTTAAGGACGTCGTATGAGTGCGATATGCATTTTTAAAGCAGCCGAACACTGTCCATACCACAGACCTGGTTGGTTGCAAACGTAGCAATTACCGCCGGCCGCCCCAACCCCTCCGGCACCCCCACCGGCACCGCTACAGTTGCCAACTTCGTCCGCCCATTGGAAGAATCTGCAGCGTGTGGGATCCTGCGGATATACGGAGCAGAAAAATTAAAACGTACACGGATATGACAAAAACATAATGCAGCAACGACCCACAGGAGAAAATCGGGGAAATCCACGCAAAATGCATGTTGCCCCCATTTCCTGGACCTAGATAGATCCTTCACCACCAGCACAGCTGATCTCACTGCGTTGCTTTCAATGCATTGGAAATGCAGAAAGCACACCAGTGGCATAGCGGAACCCGATTCATAAAGTGCACTCAATTAGGTCTTTCCCAGTTGCCGCCCTTGCAATTTATAATGCTAACGTTCTCATACAGCACTGCGCGCTGGCAGCAGGATTGTGCTGAGCCCTTATCATATCCCACATCATCTCCGCTCGTAAAGCCGCTTGGGAAGCCCGACCCACATCGCGCATCTTGGGGCAAGCGTAGAACTGTCGACCGGGGTTATTGGCGCTGTTGGAGGTTTTAACCGGGCAATCGACACCGCACATGCACTTGACGTAATCGTTGCCGCCAGCAACGTCTTCTCCGGCGCCTGCTGGGCCGCCTGCTCCGCCGCTGTACGCGACAGACCCAACGCCTTGGCCTGTGTAAGGGTTGGCTGTTGGCCCGGACGTGCTTGCTGCTTGGCTGCCGGCGTAAGGGTTTACCACATATGGGTTCTGGCCAGCCCCAGCGCTTCCCACGGCACCGTAGGGCCCCCCACCGCCGTAAGCATCACCACCACCATAGGCGCCTCTGCTGGCCTGTGTTGCCCCGCCGCCAGAGCCGAGCTCGTCTTCCCATTTAAAAAAGTTGCACTGGTCGCCTTGGGGTTTCGCGCACTTAAAAAAGGCACGACCAGGATTCTTCCCTGTGGTGGATACGCGGCGGATGCAGGGCTGCCCGCACTGACACGACGGCGCGTTGCTCTGAGGGTTGGGGCTGCTGCTATCGCCTCCGTCAGCAGCGCTGAGACTTGTCGCACCGTTGCCCTGGTAGTCATAGGATGCGGGAATCGTATGCCTGAAGCCCGGTGTTCCCCCAGTTGCTCGCTTAGAGGCCGGGTGATCGTAAATTGGGTCAAAAGTGTCCGCCTTGTGCGTCCCATTTGCGGCGGGGGTGTTCACATCCACATGGTGCTGCAAAGGATAAGCAATAACGCAACGGCGACAAAGGTGTCGCAACAAGAATGACGATACTGAAGTGTTTTATTTTTTGAAGCATATCTCCATAGGGCGGGTCCCTGTTGAATAGGACGGTAGTTATTCTCGTGGAAAAACGTATCCTTACCTCGCCTCCCAGCTCACGCCCACGCTTCTGACCAGTCGCTTCTGCAAATACAAGCTTTGCGAAGTTTCAATGCCGGCATGAGTGCGCAATTGGCAATATGAAGCTTACCGTTACGGTTGTCCATCACGTATGGATTTCCCGCGCTCAGCGCCTGAGCGCCTGGGTCAGCTTTTGAAGGTGGCCTGCAAGTTTAAAGTGCCAGGTTCGCATGACTTTGGGCAGGCTAGGTGCCCGCATCATGGTTAAATCCGGACCTGTATTCGATTTGATCAAAATCATCATCGACGTCGCCGTCTTCGTAATCATAACCCTCATAAGCCATCGTTTCTTTCAAGATTGATAGTCCGCTTGATGAGTCCGCTGCGGTGCGCAGGAATTGCTTAGCAGTGAAGTCGCAAACGTTATATAAATTCCGCCAGCACCTATTTTACAGTATTGCAACGGTCTCCTTGCCAATAAGAAATTAATACTATCAATTCGTACAGCTGCAGTGTTACACCTCATGTTGAACCTTGTCGACATCATGCTGTGCATGGCATGTACGGCGTGTTACCATCAAACTCATGCGATTCAAATGCATCCTGCCCGCCCGCAAGGCATCAAACTTTGATTGCTTGGTGTTTTTTCGTTCATACAATATAAGAAGGACAAGCCAGACGATGCCAAGAGTTGCTTTCCTCAATGCAAAAGTGCCGGTAATTTAGTGTCTTGGTCACTTACGCCGTAATCGTTTTACCTGAGTAATCATATAATAGACGGTTCGCCTGGAGTAGCCGTTCTGAGAACCCGGGTTCTCATGCCAGCTGTCGCTTGTTCTCCATGCTCTGAATAGCCTTGCGCGGCCCTTTCGACCGATGCGCCAATTTTATACCCTCAACTCCAACGCCTCTGTTAGTTGCACTGCAACCTCCGACCTCTCGCCTAGCGTCATGGCCCCTTCTCGCTTGTGCGCCCTCCCAACCTGAGCACACCTGCCAGCATCTCCCAATTCCTATCGAAATTCACGTTTCGTGCGTTCAAGTTTCACTGCATGGGGCTTGCGAAGGAAGCTGGCTCGTGCTGGGCGGTACAGTCGCGTGCAGTGCATAAGCTCAGAGGGCCAGCCCTGAAGACCAACCCTAAGAGCAGGACCCGTTGCCACGGGTTTGCGAGCATGAATACAGGATCAGTGGACCAGGACCAGAGGAACCCTGACGCCTTCACTAATCCTGTAATTAAGGCTAAATCGCCTCCAGGCAGGAGAGCAGCTCAATGGGCCACCCTTTCAGGGCGTGTCTACTCTTCTAGCTTCTCAGGGCTCAGCCGCCATGCCTCTGCACAGAATGGATATAACGTAAATGGCGCGTCCGCGGTTTGCAAAGCAGCCAAGTACCATTCATACAGCTACTATCTTAGCCCCCTCGTCTTGACGTCTTGCGCGCCACCATCGCCGCCGCCGTCACCATCCTCACCACTTTTAGATGGCGCCTGGGAAGAACAAACGATGGAAGGCATAAAGGAAGGGGATTATGCACAAAGGAAGACCTCGAGAAGGCATTGGAACCAGGCCCCATCCGGTCAACATAGACGAGACCTGGAGACCAAGACAACCGCGGAAGGGCCTTAGTAAGAGTCAACCGCGGAGGGCCAAATAAAGGAGCCAGCCAGCCAGGCCTAGGCCAGCCTAAACCGACCTATTGCAAACCAAGCACAGCTGGGCGCAGCTATAACGAATTCAGTTCCCCCGAAGCGAAGCCCCCGAAGCCGGGCCTACGGACCACCCACCATCTGCTGGTGCACCTCCGCAAAGTTCCGCCTCAGCCAGGCGTTGATCTCAGCGTTGCGTAGATCAGTGAAAACTGTGGCAGGGTTGGGTTCAGGACAGCCCTGGCCCCGGCGGCGAGGGAAGCCGAAGGATACGTGGCCCACCAACATGTCAGTCTTGGGGCTACCAGTATCAGCCGCGGCGGCAGCAACGGCACGCCCGCGGACGTTGCCCCAGATGCCGCCACCGCCGCCGCCGCCGCCCCCGCCGGCCCCCGCATCATCGCCATCTTCCTCATCATCGTCAGCGCCGTCCATGGCTTTGATGTTGCTCCTTGGGTCGTCGCTGCTAAGGGGGAAATTGCTGACGATGAGAGGCCCGCCAGAGTCACCCGCGCATGTGCGACCTGACAGAAAGGTATTGGAAGGGTCAGGGGCGTCAAGCACCCGCACATGTCCCCCCATCTCCTTTCCCTACGCACGCGCGTGTGTATGTGTGTGTGTGTGTGATGTTTTATGCGGTGTGTAATGCGGCCTTTAGTACTGCAGGAAAGCCTGAACGCGTGTTAACAGCTGTGTTGCAGCGAGCTGAGGAGCGGCTATAAGGGAAGGCTGGATAAGGATTGCAAAGGCCTTCGTGCACCCACCCACCGTTACCCACCCGTCGTACACAGCATGCGTGTCGTAATTGTCGTATCGTACGGCTTAAAGAGCTCCTGGCAGGTGGACTTGTCCAGCGGCGCTACGTCCCCCCGGCGTAGCCCCTCACTTAGCGAGCTCTCCTCTGTAGCGCCCCAACCAAGGGCCGTCAGATGAGCAGATCGCGGCAACGAGCTATTGGAAGGAGGAAGCCTACGGGTTGTCCGGGGGGGGGAAGGGAATAGAATGAATGCGAGTAAGGACCGGCAGCAGGTGGGAAGGACGTACGGGAGTGGGTATGTAATGGCGGGGGGATGTGCGTGTGTGTTTTGCCTTCGTATGTCCACCGTCTGGCGGGAAATATGCCGTAAATGGTCGCCTAATTTGAAATCCGTCTGAGGACTGTTACGACTCGCAAGAACAGGAACAGGAACAGCAGAGGGGCTTTTGTTGGTTGTTTAATTAAGTGTTCTGTCTAGCACCAGAAAGACAGGGATGGTCTTTTGGAATCACTCCAAGCACAGGCCATTCCGTGGCAGGCTCCAAGCAGAGGCACCCCTTCGCCCAAACAGCAAGCACTCTCCCTCCGCTTTGCAACTTCCCCTCAAGCCATCAAATCCCCGAACCACCTCCACCACATATCACCTCGCGACCAGATTCCCACCACAGACCACACTCCCTGCCAACATGCACGCGACCCTAATCCTCCAGGCGACCTTAATCCTCCGGGGTAATCAGTTCGCAGAAGAGCCCCGCCCTCCTTTTTCGATCCCCAATCGCGCCACACGCGCTCCCAAAAGTCTTCTCACGCAAAAGGCAAACAGAAAACCCTTCCCAAGTTCTTTTCACACCAAAATCAGAGACCCTGCTACTCAGACGGCCCACACCTTACCGGATGGTTTGCGCGGTCTGCGGGGCGTCCTGGTCCAGGAAAAGCAGCGCCACGTCGTAGTCGAAGTTGCTGACGGTTGCGGCGGTTTGCGGCGGTTGGGCGGCACATTCAGACGTTTATGTATGTATATATAGGTACATACATGCGTTTGCAGTGCTACAAGATTATAGATACACATGTTAGAAGGAAGCGCCGCTGTTGGCTGTGTACCATGCTCTTAGCGCAAAGGGTCAGGTGCGTGAATCAGGTCAGGTGCGCGAACGCCTGGGACCCGTAGGTGGAACCAAACACTGGTGAGGGGCCCTACACAGCGGCAGCAGTAGCAGCAGCAACCGCCGCCGCAGCAGCAGCAGCGAACAAGCACGAGCACGGAGCAGCGATGCAGCAGCCGGACTGGTGGACGATTGTTTGGGGCGCGGCCACGTCAAAGGGGCTTACACACACACACGTGAGGTCGTGCGCGTGTGCGACGCCTCCCCCATCCCCCGGGGGGAAGGAGAGCGGAGCTAGCGGGCCTGCGGCTCTCGGCTGCTTAGGAGGGGGCAGAGCCCCCTCTAGCGCCCCTCTCCCGTCTGCGGGAGAGAGCTTAGGCGGTGTTTCCGCCCCTCTGTGGCCAGTGTCGTCAGGCCCGGTCAGATACTTGTAACGTTCCCACAAAGGCATACATACATACATACATACATACATACATACATACATACATACATACATACATACATACATACATACATACATACATACATACATACATACATACATACATACATACATACATACATACATACATACATACATACATACACACATACACACATACACACACAGCGCGTGTGTGTGTCCTCAACACGTCCACCTCGCGGCTCTTCTCATCCGGGCGCACGAGGTGAGCGAGGACAGGAATGCCGTTGGAGACGTACAACACATACACAACACGTGTCTCACACAGCTGCAGCTCTTCTCCTCCTCCTCCCCCTCCTCCTCCTCCTCCACACCTAGGGTTATACTTGGGATGTGCCACGCTCCGAGACCTCAATGCGGGTCCACCAGCTCGGCCACCTGTACTGCCGAGTACAACAAGAGCGGTCAGAGCGTTGACCAGTGCCACTGGCCCTGCCGCCGCCGCCGCCACCAGCCGGCCGCCGCCGGCGCCACCGCCGCCGCCGGCGCTGCTGCCGCCGTCAGCCGTACGTTGCAGCCGCTGCAGCCCTAGGTACACGAGGGGGTTCGTGATCCCACCGACCGCAGGGGTGACGCAGTGTCCGGCGGTGATGATGATCCTGAGGGTGTGAAGGATCGAACACGGGAAAGCGCGCACGGCATGTTCGGTATTGGACGACCGTTCGTTCGGAGCTAGGTTGGTTGGTGGGGAAGAGGGCGGTCTCGGGCTTCGGGAGAGAAGAAGCATTGTGAGACGTGAGCTCTTAGCGCAAAGCCCCAGGACGACCTTCGACGGGAGCTGTCCACAAGAGCCGTCCGCCTTCGCTGCTTTTCCACAAGCTCTGGGACGTTAAATACTAACAGAGAGCAATTGATTTTTTTGAAGGGACGCAGAGATACTCGTACGACACGGTGTTCGTGGCTGTTTTACCGTGCAATCATCTGCCGTACCTTGGATGGACGAGCGATCCCGCGCACAGGTAGGAGCCATCGGGCCGTGCTACCACCGCCACGTACGGGTGTCTGCGTGGGCATATGGCGGGTAAGGCAAAGGCGTACAAATTCCAAACAGAAAATATTTTGAAAAATAGTTCGTAGAACGCAGGCCCCGTTCGGTTTATCCTTTTCCTGCGTAAACGACAAACAACAAACTCCTCAATTTGTTGGTTTAAGCTGTTTCAACACCTCTTCCAATGCCCCATTCTTCCAAAGCGCACATGGTTGCTTTTGAGGTTCATGCAGGAGCCCCTGGTGAAAGCGGCCCCCCACGTCCTCACCTAGAAATGGACGCCTCACTTCCGTGTTGGATGAGCCGGCGCTGCCTTAATCGTCCCCAACCAGTGCCGCCGCCACCCGCCACAGCGCCCAACGGCTTCCGTTCGTCGCTGCCGATCCACTGCGCTGAAACCGACCCACGGGTCTGCTGCGATGGCAGCGGCGCGACAGCGGCGCCATAAGGCGCGGCGTCCGACACGCCGGGCAGGTTCACCGCCCGTGGCTGCCACCAGGCTGCCAGGTCCCGCAGTCGAGGCGCAGGAGCGGTCCTCTTACGGCCGCTGCCGCCGCCGCCGCCGCCGCCGCTAGCCACGGTGGTGAAAAAACCGCCGCCGCCATGTCGCTCATCCACCCAAACGCCGGGATCTTCACAACCACCATCATAACCTTTAGGAGAACTTGTCAAGCGTCCACAGCCACGAGCATTGTGCGCCGCCGTCTCCGCATCCGCCGCTGCCGCTAACGCTGCCTTCGGCGGAGTCCTTGAAGCCGCTGCCGCCGCCGCCGCCGCCGCCATATTGGCTGCAGAAGCGGCAAACAAATTCGACGAGTACGGCAAGTACGATGAAGCCGTCGTGAGGAGCATCAAGTACTGGAGGGCTAAAAAGATTGCCGCCAGCCATCCACAACTGCGCAGGGCGAACCTAATTAGGCGTGTGATGGCAATGTTGCCGGCTGGTCGCATCTGTTGCTGAGGCCGCCGCCATCCACGAGCACCGATGCGTGCCATCTTCTTGTGTTTCAGCCCCCCCTCTCCCTCGCGTGGCCCTCGCGCGGTTTAGATCCGGCCTAGCTCCTCCCCCCGTTTGCCTTGGTTTGGTTGTACCACTCACGCCTCCTGGTAGTGGCAGCTCTCTGCCTACCTTCGCATGCGCTCCTTCCTGACTGAGAGCATCCGCAGGGGGACACCACAGACCTGGGTGCGTACCCGCACACGCGGGCTAATCTGCTGCGCCGTCTTTTTTCCGTCTAGGATTATATAGACTACTACGAGCTGTGTTTTTAATTAGTCTATTGCTTTATTGCGTGGAAAGGGGCGGATAACTCCAGAATTCGTGGATGAGCACCAGGAGGAGGGGGAAGTAATATTGCTCCAGGGGCCTAGTGAGCAAATGGTTTGATGTGAAAGATTGGTTTGGAAAAGGAAAGGAGAGAGGGGACTCCAAGCGCGGCAGAGGTTTATGGCGGTCCACAAAGCGCGGCTGCTTTTAAGAAAGACAGTCGACCGTGAGGCAGAGCACGTACAGTTGCTGTTTGTTGGCCAGTTTGCGATTTTTGCGGCGGACCCCGATCAGGTCGGGGGTGGCCAGGGGCTGGGATTGGGATTGAATTGGACGGGGACGCGAGCTTGGTTCACAGCGGGGACTGCCAGATAGATAGGTAGATAGATAGCGGGTAGATAGCGTCGTCGAGATGCCAATCTTGAGCAACGAGATGAAAAGGAGAAATTAATGGAGCAAACAGTGGGAAAATATGGCCTAGGAATGATGCGATGATGTACTATGAATTTTGGAAGAAGGCCAATGCTCAATTTGGTGATTGGCGTCTCTTGCAGAAACAAGGACGAGGCTTCTGGCAGATTGAGAGCGGATTATCATCGCCATCACAATCACAATCATACCGGACATCGTGTGTCTTTCATGTAATGTTGAAGGAGTGGATGAGGCCTAGCCATCACCTCACCATCGCAGAAGTGAGCCATTCGTAGCCAAAAAGCTACTCTTACAGTACAATAAAGTTGCCATCTCTCTTTCATCCATAAAACATCCAAGAACAGCCTTTAATGTAAAAAGATTGATGCAATTGTCTGCTGCTGGCGTTCTGGGTCGTCTTGCTTGTCGGCAGCGGTCTTTGCATTTCCTCCAGTACAACAAAACGCTTTAGACCTGCTTCAGACCCACGTGATCTTTTAGACCCCAAAACCGTCAGTACGACCGCAACTTACACCATCCACTGTGTCGTCGCGGTTGTTAGCGGTGTCGCCTCTGGCCCAGCCGCTCGTACCGGTACGACATCCATGATGGCTGCCGCCGTTCGTGAGCGTTTGCCGCCAGCAGATCAGTCCTCGCTTTCGTGTGTGCGTGTGGGTGGGTGTGCATATGAGCGTGTGTGCATCCGTATGCGGAAATCTGCTGTTTTCCACTATCGCTGATATATCACTGACGTAATGGATTATAGAAACACCATGAATAAAAATAATGAATTAAAACCTTATTGGATTCTGGCAGGAAAATGGTGATGCTTTGGTAGAAATGCAGCGGCGTTGCGTATGCTGGATATTCGAGGTGAGTTTGACTAGCCCAGAGGCAAGTGTCGTGCCAGAGCAAGGGTAATCTATCCAGCAGCGCGCGGTACGGACAGGGTAGCCCATATCCGCCAGTATCCGCTGCCCAAGCACCCTGCTATGTGTGGTAAAGGCCGTGTGCCACCACGACCCTAAAAATAGAGCTGCAGGCCCCAAACAGGCTAACCATAAAGTATTTGTTGTATGTAATATTAGAAATTTCCTGCTGAAAGCTTCGTGGCTGTACGGGAGGCGTCAAGATTCTTACGGCGTCTTGTTGTTTGCCGTAAACACAGCTTAACAGGGGCTAAAGGAAGGGTGAAATGACGGACAGACAGACAGAGGCATTCGGATAAGCGATCACTACGCCAACCTTGCTTCGCTGCTCTCGTGCAGCGTGTTATTAAATTACCAATGCAACCGTGTCGGATTGCGGTTCGATGTGATTAACACGTGGTGGGAACATGTGGTTAAGCCGCTCGCAATGATGACCCGTGGGTCAATTAGGCTGTTCAGGTGACGCATCAATACGCAATCGCGTGAGGTCGCAAGGGAAAGCATGATGGAAGGCCTAGGCGTTCTTCGATACGTCGAAACAGCGAGACGCAGGCAGAGAAATGAGCGACAGAGGACACGCAAGTTGTTGTGACGATGATGTTGATGTTGTTACAGGGTGGTTAAGCTGATGATGTGTATGGACTTGGTTCAATTTCCAATCTTCCTTGCGCTGTTCGATGGGTAAGGTAATACATACGAGCGGACTCGACGGTGAACTGCATTACAATCTACTTTGCGTATCTGCTAGCTATTCAGAGCATCGCTCCTTCAGCTGGAACGAACTAAAATGTTTAACTGTCACACTATCTTAAGGACTTGCCTAAATGCAAAGCCTGCTGCTTTTCCTTGCAGGGCACTTAGCCCCCTACACCACATCAGTTGGATGATTCCCTACGAGGCGGCTTCACCTTCTCGCCTCGCTCGCTATGAGTACACTATGAGCACACGCCACTTGCCACACCCCGGCAAGGCACGTATCCCCGCGCAATGTTTTCCGGTACCTAAGCTCCATAGCTCATGGTTCCATTAGGCACCGCAGAGCCAGGCGAGGAGCGAGCCACCCCAAACAGTCGCACAACACAACCAAGCGTAGCACCGCATGGGGCCATACAGGGGCTATACAGGGTAGATCGCAGTGGTGGGTACCACAGCACACTGGCCGCTCGACACATCAGACGCGCCTCGGGGGGTGTGCCACACGCTGACTTTCATTCCCCAGCATGCAGCGAGACACGAGCTCTACTTGAAGGATGGGGAGGAATAGAATAGAGGCGGCGAACAGATGGTGAGGTAAACCTAGTAGAAACACGGCACATCGTGAACGACAACCGTAATGGCACAAAGTCAAAAGCCCATATCACGACACAGTTTCCGGCACAATACACGACGCAACCAAAACATGATGTAAATATTCTTGCAGGAAGGAAATTGCACGATGTGCGCGCGAAGCCTTCCGTAGCTCCCCTCTCCCCAAGAGGCCTTCCCGCCATCGTGCACTCTCTTACCTAGGTAATGCAGGACTCTACCTAGGTAATGCAGGACAGCAGCCCACGCCAGGAGGCAGAAGGACCCAGGAGCTGCTGCCTAGAGTTCACCCTGCGGTCTACTGTGTATCACTAAGAGGACCACCATTAGCTATGTGCCTTCTGTCCAAGTTAGGACACTGGGCTATTTAAAGGATATACACAAGAGACGTACATGCATACATACGTACCCATGCACGCAAAGCCACAGCCACAAGATGCTCCCGTCAGTTCACTATTGCCTAATCACAAATCTGATCTTTCTTCTCTTGGATCATTTCAACAGAAACTCACGCAGTATCGAAGACAGACATACGTACACATAAGGCATATGCCCATGCACCCCCGCGAAAGCCGTCGTGCAGGGAGCTGTTCCCATCCTCTTCGAACAGCAACTGAAAAACATCAACGAATAACCCGCGTGCTCAAACATACAAAACTTGTTGTACGAGAGATAATAATGCCCAGTACGCAAAAGACATGATAGGCAGCGTCAGGTCTAGAGCAGTCCTGTGCAGCAACTCTGAGCACGTGTCCGCCTTCCGCCGCCGCCTCTTCCCACGAAAATCAAAATTGGCACCCGAACGCGCATCCAACCACGATGACATTTAACGGTGACGACAACATCGACCACAATAGCAATTTAGAGGAGGAACAGGCAGGCAGGATCAGGGCACGGCAGGCAGGCAGCAAGTAAAGTCATTTCATGCGGCTCATTTCATGTCCTTTTTCATTTGCTCTTCTCCACATCGGGATCTTCGCGGCACCACGTCGGACAACAGTTCCTAGAGACTCCTCTTAGACCTCTTTTTAAGTTGCTCTGGAGCACCTTGATACCGGTCTAAGGGGCCCTTGTCCATCCGGCTCAACGTCCTAGGCAAGAGCCACTACATGACAGCCGCAACGGCTGCGGCGGCAGCAGTGGCAGCTGCTGCTGAGTTGTTGCGACATACATGATGGATGTGTGCAGACATACATACAGGCACCTCCTCCAGGTACCCATGCCAGGCCCCTCATCAGCAACCAAGTACCAAGTACGGTCATATGACTCCTTCATTAATGCATGCGAGCCAAATCCATCTGCCAAGTGCTTTGATTTGGTTTGCGTAATCTTGGTGAAGGAAGTTTGCAGTCCTCGGCAGTACAACCTTCGCATGGGTAAGTAATGATGGTCATCATCATCACCATCATCATCACCACCGGCGACATGCATGTGTGGATGTGCGTCGCTCCGCTCCAACCCGCCCCCCATATCTATGTCCACTCTCCACCGTAGTGGATTAGGCACCTTCCCCTTTTTCAGAGCTCCGATCTGTACACGAGAATGTGTAAATGCCCTTTTCATCCTAGTTGCTACACAGGGCATACATGAAAGGACCGGCGAATCCTCTACTTCTCAGCCTCGGCAAGAACATTAAACCAAAGAATCCAGCAAAATTCCTGGTGTCGCCGCAGTATGATGGTGTTTTGCATGGTGGCGTTGCTGCAGGTGAAGGTGAAAAGAAGGCGTGCAGAGGCTTTCGCCGTTCACCTTCGTTCCGCCCTCCACTCGCACACACCGCCCTGACAGCCACAATCTGCCCCTGCGCTCTCCTCTGTCCACATGGGCACACCGCCATGACTTAGGCAGCACTCAGTTTTCGGTATTGCCAAGATACCGCAACACAAACCACACAGCCAACGAAACGCGCATTACGCCATGACCAACGGACCTGTCCGCCCACTAAGTACCTTATGCACGCGGCCGTGAGCTCCAATCCTCCAAATAAACCCTAAGGCAGGCCAAACTGATAACCACCGCAAAGTAAATGGACAACTTGCTGCTCTGGCTCCGAGTGATTTCCACCACACCCGGGAAGTTATTGTTCTCACCTGCCCAGCTAAATACATGCGCAACTATTTTTTCGGCGTCCAACTTCGCAATGATTTCCTCTCACCGTGCGAGGGCTCCCAGGCGAAGACCAGGCACCACCGGCTGCCTCCCCTGTCCTCCGACAGCCCCATGCATGGGCGCTCTCCCCGTTCCCACGCACTCCATCCCCGCACCGGTGTCCTCACCGTCCACCACCCTACCGTACTCCACAAAGCCCTTTATAACATCACTCCCGCCCCCACCCCGCCCAGCAACTTCACGCTGCGTCTCCCTGCCATGTGGCCGACTGCTGCGTAGCCCCGCGCCAAGCCGCGCCGCAGCCGCTCCATCGTCCAAAGGCAGTCGCAGCGTTGGCACCACAGCCACTGGCCGCTTGGGGCCCGTACCAGCCGCCGACGCCACAACTGCTCCCTTGCCGCCCTTCTCCGCCAGAGGGCTCACCCGCACCGCTGCTGCTGTCTGTTCGCCCGGCGGCGTTATGCCCACCGCCGCTGCGACCTTTGCGGATGACGCCAGCGGCGACAGCGGCTTTAACGCTGGTGCGGCCGTGGCGGCCGGCGGGTTTCCCCCACTGCTGAGACCCCCCAATTGCCGGGCGGGGACTGCCGCCGACAAGCCACTGCCGCGAACTGGTGTCTGAACAGGAGATGGGAGGGGGAGGGGCGATCCCAGAGGCAAGGGGAGGAACGGTTCTTCCGAAGGTGATGCACCAATGTCATTGGCATGGGTGGAAGTGACGGACGTGACGGGCGTGGTGGCGACTGTAGAGTTGTCCCGCCTGTCGGGTTGCCAGGCGGGTGACTGCTGGTGTTGCTTTATAGACGTGAGGGCCAGGCGGGGCACCACGGGCCGTGCGCTGCTTGTGGGAGCCACAGCTGCCGCACCCGCCACCTGCTGCGGTTGATGGTGCTCCTGGCGCTGCGCCTGTGCCAGCAGCTGCTGCTGCTTCTGCAAGAGTGGATGTTGGTGATGATGGTATGGCGCCAAGGGACTCCGCGGCGGCGGTGGCGGCACATGTAGCGACAGCGCTGCTGGCATGCCAGTGCCGTGTAGGATCAGCGGCAAAGCGCCGCTTGGGGCGGTGCGGGACGGCCGAGCCGTCAGCAGCGGTCGCAATGGAGAAGGTCGTTCCGTAACACTGGTGACGGCCGCGGCGGCACTGGCCGCGGCGGCGGTGGCTGCAGCGGAGGAGAGGCCTGCGATTCCTACGGAAGTGAAGGCAGGTGAGCTGCGAGGACCCCGTGAGGTAAGGAAGCCGGAGTTGGCAGTCGCTGCCGCGGCTGCTGCCAGGTTCACACATGTAGCGCCGCTGGGGAAGAACGGCCCGGCACGGATCGGAGAGACCTCCGGGCAAAAGCGTAATTCGCGGTGGGTGTGGCTGCCACAGCGAGGGACGGGTTGTGGGCCCATCGCGCCCTGAGACTGCTGGTGGTGGTGGTGTGTGGGGCCAGAAAGGCAGCGCTGTTGCGTGGGCGTGGAGGACAGTTTGAGGTTGGCGATTTGCGTTGAGATGCGGGCGGCCTCAGTGGCTGCAGCCGCACAGCTGAGCTTCTCACAGACCGCACGGGCTGCCTGGACTGCCGCACCAGAGCGAGATGGAGTTACAGTGCGCACGCAGGAATCGATTGCGCCCGGGGCATCGGCGGTCGGCAAGCTGAGGACATGATGTTTTGGCGGCGTGAAAATGCTCGGCGTGCGGTAGTCCGCGGTGAAATCCGTGGCCAGCAAGCTCTCCGCCAAATCTAAGGCATCATCAATAACACGGCCGAGGTTCATCATTGGGGCGCGCAGGCACGCCGGCAAGCGAAAGATTGCGGCGGTCTGCTGAGCAGCAGAAGCGACTAGCTGTGGCTGTGACTGGGACTGCCTGACATCTTGTCTCCGCCTTGACTTCCTGGACCGTCGTTGCTTTTGGCCTCTCTCGCTTGTGGCATCTTGCCTACCTCCGGCTGCCTGCTGCGTGTTTGTCACTTGCATTGGCAGAAAGCTGTCACGGGGCACGCAACGGGCAGCTTGTTGAATGCGCTAGCTCCTGCTGAAGTCCGTAAAAGAGGGCTCCGCTTACAACGTAAACTTGTCTACAGCAGCATCTGCGGAGCACGGTGAAAGAGCGTTGACCAGTACAATGGAATAGTCAACTTGCAACGTTTGCAAGACAACATAAGCCTCCACTTATTGTTAATAATGGTAATTTTATGTGTACAGAGCACAAAAGCAAGCACATCACTAACGCGATGGCATTTACGCGTCTGTTGTCGTCTTTGGATCAAGAAAACGGTTCCGCGATGAAATGTCCATTTTCTTTGGCCTCGCGGCGAACACCTCACATCAATTCTATAATAGTACATAAAGACGTTGTTCCTCGCAAAACTGATCCTGCACAATCCTATGAGGGCAGAATCGACCATTTATCCAACAGTTTGCTAATTGCTGCGCTGGCCCATCCATAACAAGTACCATGTCTCCTTACCTCTCGCCTCGGTTAACGCCGCAGATCCTTGCGCATCAGCTTCATTCTCTGAATACCAAAGATCGGCGCGATGGGCCAGTGCTGTGCCTGCGCGCGGTAGCCCGCGCGCTCGTAGAGAGCCGCTGCCTCCTTGTCCTGCAAAAGAAAGGGCCACCAACGAGCAATTGCGAAAAGTACACCGGTCGAGAAATGCATATCCTAACCGGCCCGACAAGTCCCAGCACGGCCACACAAACACGGACTACCCCCAGGAAGATCTTCCCCAACAACCTTCTAACATCTCACCTGGTTCTCTCATAATCAGTCTTGCGTTTTAATTACGCTATCTCCCAACTCCTGTCCGTCTAAATCTTCCTTGCTGCTCAAAGTTGAAAATCCTGTGCTTGGCACTTCGTTCATATCACTCATTTCACCCCTCCTTCCCTCCGCCTCTGCCTCGCCTTCCCTGACCCCTTCCCCCCTACCACCCCATCTCCCTACCACCGCGCCTCCTTATCAACCCATCTCCTAACGTACCACGAAGCGCAAGTGCAAGTACATCTCCGATTCCTTCATCACATCCGCCGCCAGCTCCTCCGCCGCCGCCAACAGCCGAGTCGCGACACCACGCCGCCGAAATACCGTAGACACGGCCATATTGCACATGTAGCAACACCTCTAAAAATTAAACAAGTTTTACAACGGCGGGCAGGAGAGCCGTACGTTCAGACGCAGCACGCAGGCTACCGAAGAACTCACATATGCACATTATGCAATAGCCGCAGCTGGATCTGGATTGCATGGATTGAGATCAAGGTACTCGTTGCCCGGAGTTGAAGCAGATGTCTCGACAGGGCAAGAAGGGCATGTGTACCAACCTGTATGTATGTATGTATGTTCGCGTGTACAAACATGCGCATGGGTGTCCACGTGTGCAAACGTCCGTGTGCGCACATATGCATGTGTTACGGTGGCGGCCGGATCCAGAGCCGTACACACCTCGGGCGCATCCAGGAAGGGTTGAGAGGAGCGGGTGGAGCTCTTGAAGGAAACCTCCGCAGATCCGATGACTCGCAAACGAGTGCCGCTCAACGTCGAGGCAGAGGTCGACGATTGATGATGCATACCGGACGCATCACCAGCGGAAACAACGTCTGTGCTGTTTGCTTGCACTGCCGCCGCGTCGGGTGCCTCAGCTACAGCTGCTTCCCCGGCTACAGCTGGCTCTGTTACACAAGGTTGCAGCACCGCCACGAGAATTAGCGCATCCGGCGCCATGGCCTGGTGCTCCCGCAGATATCGTGCGATATTGCGGCGTACGTACGACGCGTACGGCGCCAGATGCGTGATTGATGCCACGAAAGACGAGGCGAGCAGCTCGGTAGTTTGGTCGATAAGGGGAATGGGGAGGGCTTGGATGATGACCAGGCCTTCAGCTAACTGGAACTGCACGCCGGGATTGACGGGGGATTGGGTAAGTGCTGCGGCGGGTAGCGGTGATGCGGGCAGTGGATGAATGGATCGCAGTACGGTGGATCCCAAAAAATTCCCTGGGGTTTCCCATGGGATGCACGTAACCTATTATAATTTACATAATAATATCTTTTGTCCCGCTTCATTACGTTGTGCAGGACTACCAGAGGCTCTGGGGGGGGTGTTTACTGGGGCCTCTGGGGATTCCCACTGACAAAAGTACACGGAGACAAAACTTTATAAAAATTTTAAGAGCTGGGCATGTCTGCTTCTCAAGCTTGAAATAAACTTCCGGGGAATAAGCAAGCAGTGCGCGGGAAGTAGGCATAAGTGCTAGGTTCCCTTTCCAACCACGCGTGCAAGCCCGAGATATAGGCCACAGCGACGCGCTTTCTGATCGTGTTCGCCCCGCAGATGTTCGATATAGTGCATGTTGCTGCTTACCTCTTTCCGGAAATTCAGCATACGCGCAGCCTTCGCGTCCTGCGCGTGCACAGCTCGATCGGTAGAACGCAGCCCTTTCATCGCACGCTGTGGTGAGAACTACGTCGCTAGAATTACCTCTTCAGTAAAGATGACATTGCTTACGCCTGACTCCTGTTTAATCGCACGAACTGCAAGAAAGCGCTGGTTAAATACTGCATGGCCTCGACAACCGGGCTTTGTTGGGATTCTGGGCCGTAGGCGTGATAAATAATTCATTTTACAAGGGGTGCTTGCTTGGTATAGGCTATGAGGAGTCTGCAAATGCGGCATCTTACAATGTTTGCGTACTAAACTCAAATAGAAAGGAGGCCACCAGGGCTGTTGCTTTTTAGTGCGGAAACTTTGCAATCATATAAGCTTTTGATGGATTGCTCACACAACGAAATCGGCACATAAATCGATGCAAAATACTGCTGCATACGGACACGCGCATCTTTGTTCAATATAATGTCAAGCAAGCTAATACAACCTTCCAGACCTCATTTAAATCTGTTTATTTATTGTTACTAGGATTGCAGTGTTTTTATCGCGGCTTTTCAAGCTCCCATTTGTCGAGACCTAACGGATAACAAATTAGTGACGTTTTCAAGCGCCAGGTTACGAGCGTGTACGCAGCTTGTGTTGGTGTGGCATTGGAATTAAGATCCCACGTATCACCTTTGACTGATTGTTGCTTCCTCTTCTTGCCTCAGACATGGCAGATCAACTCGAAGCCGCACCTAACAGCTAGTCTCATAGTTGAAGCGACATAAGGTGATTTACGGCTTCATCACACCACTTTAGTAAATATCAAGCCTCCTCATTAAATTCTCCTGCGCAGGACTGGCCATATCTTCCGTCACAAGTGCCCGTACGCGGCAGCTTCCTTAAAATTTCCTGGCCGCTCAACGGCGTAATCCCGAGATCGATTTGTCCAACCAGAGAAGCAGCCGTAATTGAAACAGCGCCTTGAGCAGCTACTCAAGGCCATAGGCAGATGGCGTCTAAATCCCCTTCAAGCTCCCAGCATAACAAGAAAGGCGTTTCTGCAAATCCCCACTTCACCGCTACCTTCCCTCAAGCTCCAAGGGCTCCCACAACACACCCCAAAACCGCAACATTAGGATCCGCATCCCTAGAGCGCCATCCACGAATGCCCGACATTCGCGTTCAACTCTAGCAACCGCGAAACCGTACCGTCGTACCGCAACGCCAACACACCATGTCTCGATCGCTCGTCAGCATGCTCGTCCCCCAACCCCATCGTTTGTTGGATTTAGCATTGGACAGTCGTCCTCCTCGCCCCTCTCCTATACCCTCCGTTACCCTGGCTCACTACTTAACTCCCCCCAAAACCCCAGTCAGCTACCTGCCCAACGCTCCTGGGTTTATTGACCTCCTGCATACCCCTAGTCAGTTAACAGCTTTCCTCAACCCGTTGTCAAGGCATATCAGTGTTTACATCTGGTCTTCGAAGTTCAAACCCTTCCGTGATTATCCTCTAGGCGACACAGCCGCATCTTGCCGCCCGTAAAGCCGTACTGCCGACTTTTCCTATTGCTTCAGCTTGCTGGAGAATTTGGCCCTGAACTTGGCGACCTTTGGACCCACCACCGCCCGACAGTAGCCCTGTCCTGGGTTCTGGACGAAGTAATTCTGGTGGTAGTCCTGCAGGACAGGAAGTAAAAGCGGCGAGGGTGGTGAGGCTTGTGTCGTCGGGCACCCGTGACCCCATATCACCAGCGTCACATGAATATCAGCACTTCCATTCCGTGGTTTCGGTGGCTCAGTCACTAAGAACTTAAAGATACATTAGAAATCGAACAAAACAACCCGTTTCGTGTCATTGTCGTACCTCGGCCGGATAAAACACATCCAGGGGCTCCACCTCAGTTACCAAGGGCGCCGTCCACCAGCCCTCTGATGTGATCTGTTGAAACACACGGGCAGACAGACAGACAGACAGACTGGTCGATAAAACTTTTGCAAACATTGCTATCACTCTTCCCTCCTGGAGGGTTGGCACAGTTGCGTCACTTCATTGCTTTCGACGGTTGGTGCTTACAACGTGTAGGTGGTTGGCGCTTTGTTGTTTGCATATGATTATAAACCCTCCTCCACACACACATACACACACATACACACACATACACACACATACACACATATATATACACACACCTGTTGCATGACCTCCTTGGCGATCTGCGCCTGCTGGTCGTTGTGTGTGAGGATGATGGAGCGATACTGAGTGCCCACATCATTGCCTTGCCTGCAGGAACAGAGTGTGACGAGGGACAAATACGTTGCCAACAGCGTCGTACGGTAGACATGGTACGGAATCGTACGGCGAGATCCGACAGAGTATGTAATGAGACATGGCGAAAACGCGAAATCGGAATTTGGAGCCCTGATATATGTTGCTGAAACAATATCTTTAACATCAAAAATTCGCTATAGTCTAGGCGGTTAGGATACGAGATTCTCACTCTCGAGACCCGGGTTCGAGTCCCGGTAGCGAAACTTTTTAGGAAATTTGGGTGCAATGTACCTAAAGATTCTCTGAGTATGGAGCGGTGAACGATTTGCATGCGTTTCGGGGAATGCTTGTGATGGCTAAGAATGGGAGTAAACTCGGCAACAAGCGTCCCGTTAAGACCGCTGGCATTACCTGGTATTCTCCCCGAGGTCTGGGAGACTAGACCAGACCACGCAGCGTTCCGGCGCTTTACGCTAAAATAGGAACCGGAGAACGGCGACAGTCGCCCCCGACACCCTAACGCAAACTTTCACTAACGGCCCATGGGCCCCCCGGCTTTGACGAGCCCCTCCGCGCTCTGGCGTATGGGCCGACGAACAGACATAGAGACGCTCACTGACCTGTCCTTAGTCGTGGGGTCATGGATAGTGAAAAAGATTTGCAAAATCTCCTTGTACGACAATACAGATGAGTCGTACGTAATCTGTACGACCTCCGCATGCCCTGTTGTACCGGCGCACACCTGTTGGGAAATTGTACATGTGGTGGAAGCATCATACCGTGTGTGGCCGAAGGCACAGAAAGAGAGGGATGAAGGACTACGGTCCGTGCAATAGTAGTAGCAATAGCAGTGTACGGCGTTTGATATGCCTTAGATGCAGAGAGCGCTAGCAGCTACAGCTGCTACACAAGTCTGTACGTCTACCGGCGCCTCGCTCCTGAAACTCTCTCTTTCTCTTTCTCGTCCTTACTCTCTCTTTTCAGGGCTAAATCTCTCAGGGCTAAATCTCTCAGGGCTAAATCTCTCAGGGCTAAATCTCTCAGGGCTAAATCTCTCAGGGCTAAATCCCTCACGGGAAACATATACGGGGCGACCGAAGAGGAACTGAGATACTACGTAGTGAAAACCCCGATCACAATACTGCCGTACAGAAGGTACGACATCTAGACAAGGTGTACGACGCGAGCCCTACACCTGCACATCGTCTCATCAGCCCAACAGAGCTCGGCTTCCCTTGACTCAACTTTACATCGCGTCTCACCAACCTACCTGCTTGTACGTCGGGCTCTTGACGTGTCCTGCCGCATAGCCGCTGATGGCGGACTGCACGCCCTGGAGCATGTTGTAGCAGGCTTCTACGCACCTGGGGTGTGTCAGTTATGAGGGGTAAGTGGTTGAGCGGTTAAAGTAGGGTTAGAGTAGTCAATGGAACATTTCGTCACCTTCCGTCAGCTCTCAATGTGCTTTCATTCTCGGTTCGGGTCACTTTCGCTTACCAGAAGCAGCCGCCTCCAACTGTCGCCACCTCCATCTTTGAGATGCTGCGGCTGGTGCTGGAGGCAGAGTCACTTGGGCCGCTGCTGTGGCTAGTTGTCGATGCGGCGACTGGCGCGAGATGGGGCAGTCCGCGGTGTGGACTCCAACGGAGGTGCCCCAGCGATGCAACTGGCTCAACCTATGGTTGCAAAAACATTAAAACTATATTGGACGCATCGTCGTGGCATATTTGCTGGCTTCCAGACAAGTGGCTTCACAGGCTTGGCGTTGAAGAAGAATCCAAGAAGTAGATTGCAACATCTCGGCTCAGGAAAAAATGGGTGATGTGTTCAATATGCGCAAGCTCTCGTTAGTTTAGGAAAGAAACTTGGCATAATATCACTCACCGCAGCACCTGGTGCGCGGTTAGACGGTCCCGACGCTGCAGCGGGCTGTTTCACAAATGGAGCCGCTGTTGAAGGGCGACTGACGTAAGGTAAACTTGAGCGGGCCAGTAACATACCGACGATGCCAATAAGCAACGCCGCGAGGAATTCCACCGAGCGAGTGACTGCTAAAGATGCCACGGCAACGCAATATAGAAACCGTTTTAAACTGATGTTTCAATCAAGTCAAATAATCAATCCAACGATAAAAGTATTGCACGTCGAGATTAGCAGTAGCCCATGCATTAGTGGGACGAGCAGAAGGTTCCACGACGATCCATTTTTTGTGGACCACGGAACGACAGCCAACCGCCCGGAGCCAAGCACGCACCCATGATTCCATCAACTTGTGCAAATGGGTATCTATATGTCTGTAATACTTTACATAAGTTTTCCATGTAAACGGAGTTCGTACGTTTCGGGGCTGACTCAGTCGTGTGGGTGGTGCTCCACCGAGCGAGTTTCAAAGGACCATGCACGGTCTGGCCCTAGTATGGAATGCCTGAGAAACTCTCTCCTTCATGCCAACTGGAGAAAGTGCCATAAAACATTTCCGGTTTTAACAGCAATGCATTACGCAGCTCACAAGGGCTCACATGCCAGTCTGCTGAAAGGTACGCGCTGGCCATCGGTGGTCGCGCGGGTGACAAAGGCCACATCATAGCCGTCTAGTGTACTGCGCATACGTGCTTGACATGGATGTAAAGCGCCCGGCCACCCACGGGCCTTATTGACTGCTCACACTGGATGGAGGACGAGACAGAGGCGGACCTCTTGCTACTGGCGGATCTAGGGAGCCCGGAAGCTGACTGACTCTTGGTGCGACCTTTCTGAAGTTGTGCTGTTGCCGGCCATCAAGACAAGAAAATGGTACTCTCCGATTCGTTCCAGATTGTCTGCCTCACCATCGATTGCCCTACCTGGGTCAGAGCAGAGCCTGGGAAGGGTTCAACCCAGGAGTAGCACAGGCTGAGAGGAGTCCAGTACACCACCGTCACCCGAAGCGTCGTTCGAACGTCAAGTGCAAAAAGCTCAGCACGGAATCCAGCCGACTTCCAGCCTGGGCTCTTGCAAGGGTGTAGCCAGTTACGGCGCCATTACTTCGAAATCCACCACCATGGGGTTCATGGCGAACACGGAGCTGCAACAAACACCACCTAGGTGCTGTGTTGATGATGGAGGAAGCTGTGCTTTTCAACTGGCTAGGGGCACCCCGCCTTGAGGCCTCAAACCCCCTCCCACAGCGCGCCGCAAGAAACACCACACATCATACTTCACAACATACTAAGTGATCAGCCAGGCCACAGGCTGGGATGTGGACCCAGAAACGTACCCAACCGACTGGATGCCGCAGGGTGCCATTCAGTTCCCCGACTAACGCAGCACCAGCCTGCACACGGATGATATGTTCATACAGGTGGAAATCCAAAAGTGCTTGGAAACCACGGGGGTGATACACCCCATAGTGGTCAGTATTCTGTAAGCCATATCAGGAGATCTTCATCCGCTGATCGGTACTTTTCTGAAGTCGTGATACGATATGGGTCACCGGACAATCAGAAAGAGCCTGCGGGTGGTGGAGGGCAAGAAGCCGCACCTGTACCCAGTAACCCCATGTACCCCAAATTGTTCATGGATAATATCCCACCGCGGAAATACGAGCACATCACGGACTTGCCGGGCTTCCTGCGAAAGGACGACTTCCTCTTCACCACAGAAAACAAAAGCGGCAACTGGAACCTGTTTTACTGCACCCGGAGGTGTACGGTGGTTTGCCGCTTTTGAATGGGGTATGCGACTTGTACTCTGCTGGCTTGTCATGGCGTTCGGATTCGCGCCCGCGCCTGCTGGGTTTATCGCCTGCGGGAACAGGAGCTGTTTCACCCGCTGTGTGAGGGGAATGTTGACTTGGCTTACGTGATCGATGTGGCTGTGCTCTGTGGCAGCACACAGGCCACCTGGCGGCAGCACAACACAATACCTGCACCGGGCGGTGGTCGATCTAGTCACTGCTCTGGGCTTCAACCTGAGCTTTTTAAAATAACGCCACTCATGACCTTCTCAGCGGGTCTAGCTGTTGGGCTTCATCGTCGACACACAGCAGGACGTGTTCAAAGTACCGGAGGACAAAGTACGGCAGCTGGCAGAAATGGTCTAGCAGCTGGAGGCCGCGGGGCCGGAATCGATTACATGCAGCCCGGCAAGTGGCCCAGGTGGCCGGGCGGATGATGGCCATGAGCCCGGCAGTGGCTACAGTGCTGCTCCACGCGCGTGTGGTCGGAGTCACAGAGTCTGTGATGAAGCGGTGCCACCTACACCTGCGCAGGGCGCGGCTTTTCGTCACCCTGCCGTGGCTTGAGAATGGTAAGACGTGGAGGTGTCGCGGCCCGGCGCTGGTGCTGGGTGGGGAGTGGTGCGAGGTGACGCAACTGCGAGGGCCGATGCCGCCTATCTGCCGCCGATCGCCGGCTGGGGGAGGCGGAAGCGAGCGAGATGAGAGTGCCTTTCACCCCGGAAGAGTTGGAGCGCGTGGCAAAAGGGGGGGAAACATCAGCGGGCACACACGGGGGGGGGGTCCGCTCGGTAAAATCTTTGGCAGCGGACTGGATCGAGGTTGCGGGCCCACACCTATCGCACCTGCACTCGGGAAAGTTGCTACAGCACCATACCGATAGCCAGTAGGGCGCAAGGCGCAACCCTAGGCCTTTGGAACTTTGGGAGCCGGGCATGAAGGTGTAGTAGCTGGCCGCTGAAAAGACCTCTCGAGATGCTGGTTGTCGCGCTACGCGCGTATTTGTAGAGCCGTACTGTATACCAGCTACTACAAAAGGGGCGGGGCGTGTGCCTGCAGTGGGGGAATGAGCTGTACAAGCTGTGTGCCAAGATGGCCCTGGATGCACAGCTGGTCTGACAAACCCCCACGGCACAGCAATCTCCCAAGTACGAGGACGGCTCGCAGTGGTGCCTGGATGACTTGGTTTTCTCGCCTCCAACAAGCACTCTTCCCCTAGCGGCGGGCAGAGAGGGGCGTGAGGGGCCACAGTCCCCTCCTGCTCGTGTGAGGGCGCGCGGCGCTGTGTCTCTATACCTCATATAATCGATGATGAAGGAGCGCAGGGTGGCGATAAAGGCCCTCTTACAACCAACCTCAGCACGTGCTGCGGCACCACCACCATTCACCATCGGTTGCTTACAGGAAAAGCCTGATTAAGCTATTACCCTGTTTCCCCAACCTTTTCGTAAACGAGCGATATAGAGACAAAGAGCTCAGCCACCGTTGATCCCCCCTCGGCTGTTTATCTGTGCGTCCACCTGCTCCTGGCCATCAGCTTTTTTCAGATGCGCGAAAATGCGGACAATCATAGAGGCTGGAAAAATGTATACCGCCCATTATATCATACAGCAGCAGCTTCTACTTATCAAAGTTAGAGAATACAACATACAACAACAGCCTTGTGTTGGTTTTCATAGGGTTGTTTTCTTTGGCTAAGTCGACATGCATCGTCGTCGACTGTTCGCACCGACACGACGATGTGACTCTTTCCAGCGCCTTCCAGCACCTTACGGTCCCTTCCCTGAGAACACGCATACAGCAACAAGTACAACCAAAAGCAGTCTTGCTTTGCCAATTCAGCATCGTACATAAGTAAGCTTTTCCAGCAGGCTTCCGGAAGGTCCCACATGCTCTTCTTCAACCTTCCACATGTCCACATGCTCGCCGGGCAATCCACGAAGTCGCCAGGAGAACCAGTCCTGACAGTCAGCGCCCCAAGGCGCCCGACACCACCACCCCCTTCAACAAGGTGTGGGGTCTGACAGCAACAACCCTTTAAGAAGTTTTCTTCTCCAACGGCCCTTCCTTCTCCCCGCCACCGCCGGGGGCGAACGAGTCACCAAAAAACCACCTTACCTTCACAACTTAATAACAACGATACACACTCCGAAACGCTCCACATCGTCATCAGACCGCACCAGCCGTACTTTCAACTGTCCGGTCGAGGCGCAACCAACATGCCAACCAACAATACGTGCCGTATCGGTACCGTACAAATCAGCAGTACACAGCAACATCCTGCATTTGCAGTGCATGACGAAATATAAAAGCCAAAGACAGTCAGCGGCAGAACGATACCATACACCCACGCGCACACGCACCTTCCCTTCACCTCCCACCACGCACCAAGGCCATTCCGCACACCAGTGCACAGCCGAGGGATGGGAAGGGGGCAAGACACCCTCATCCGCTACCCCCAACCCTCCCTCCCTCACTCTTCCCTTGCTTACTCCCCTGACGAAATCCTCCCCCCACTCGGACCGCTCTCCTTCCCAGGAATTGCATGACCGGGTGCTTTCATAGTACAACAAATCCTTCAGGATCCCCACAACAGATGTCTTAGGCGCACAAGGTCCCACCCTCGTTCTGTTTTAGTTCCGCAGAGGCCACCCAGACCACCAAAACCTATTACTGACTGTCCTGTCCTCATCTGTCGTACTACTTTGTCGTAGTACATGACCCAATCAGAGACACTAGTTGCGCCTGGAGGGGGGCCCCTTATCAATGCAGCAAGGCCGACCACCACCACCGCATCGTCCTCCTCCTCCGCCGCCGCCGCCGCCTCCTCCCTTGTCCCTTGTCGCCGCATTCACCGTAAATCAGTCAGCCTGCTAGCCCCCCCCTCCCTTCCTCCAACTATTCAACCAACCAACCAACCCCACTATCACCATCGCCATATCCTGCATCGGCTTCTGCAACCCCTACTACTGCTCTTCCTCCAGGCTCTACTCGTGCTGCGGCAGATGATGGCCCCAGTAGCAGTAGTAGCAGTAGTAGTAGTAGTAGTAGTAGTAGTAGTAGTAGTAGTAGGCGTTTCCCCTTTCCTCCTGCTACTGCTGCCTGCTCGCAATCAGCTCGTCCAGCTGTAGCAGCAGTTCCCGGCTAGAGGGCCGCTGGTGGTGATGGTACGACCAGCACCGGTGCACCAGAGCCCGGAGGCCGGGGGGGCAGCGGGCGGGGGAGGAGGGGAGCTGCAGAGTGACACCGGACTGGACCTGCCGGGGCGCCGAGGGGGGGAGAGGGGGGGATGTTGGGGGGGGAGGAGGGGAGGTGGCGCGGGGAAAGGGAAGAAGATATGTACTGTACTGCACTGTACTGTTATATTGGAAAATATTATAATAACATTATTTATCTGGGGAAGAGAGGGGTAATATATATGTGTGTATATATATGTGTGTATATGTAGAGAGCATACATGATATAGATCTGGCACAAGAAGAAGCAAGGGGTCCAGCCGGCAAAGAAAACGCTTCAAAGGTGCCGTACCGGGTGTACGATGATGTTACCGGATGTGAGGTCCTCAAAAGGAGGAGGAGGAGACGCCGCACAGCCCCCGTCCCTTTCCGTGTCTTCTCTCCTCCGGCATTCTCTCGGTGATGTCCTCATCCCCCCCTCCCTCCATCCCTTCCCCCACCCCAAGCGTACGGCATCACACCGGACCAGACAACCCCCCTTCACCCCTACTCCTACCCCGGACTGTCCAGGTCCCCCAAACTCCCTAAAACCCTAAAACCCTAAAACCCACCTGGCACATGGCGTACAGCGGGTGGCAGCCCTCCCAAGGCTCCTTCCCGGTGATTAGCTCGTACAACAGTACGCCAAAACTGCGGAAAATGTACGGATGCTCATGGAGTTTGGGGAACAGGTCACAAGGGACGGAGGGGTGGAAGCAGCAGCCGGGTCAAGGGGTTACCTAGGGTTTTGGGAGGTGAGAATGCGACCAGCGGTGGTGGTGGTGGTGTGGGAGGTTGGGATTGTGGGTTAAGGAACCCGTACCCCTCATATCACCCGCTGGAATGTATTTGTACTGCTGTGCATCGCAAGCCCGTACGTACGTAACCACGTCGTGTGGACATACAAACATACGTACACAAACACACAAATTTATATATACTTTATATAGATACATGTATACATGTACAACGTAATGGCAATCCCCATCTCGCACCTGTAAATGTCACACTTTTCGTTGATGCCTCCAGCACCGCCTTCCCCCCCTTCGGCCCCTCCGCCGCCGCCGCCGCCGCCGCCGCCGCCGCCGCCGCTGCCGCTGCCGCCGCTGGCAATGCACTCTGCACAACAAAACGCAAAATTGTGATGGGATGACAGGACGAGAGGGGCAGAGGGGTAGAAATGCAGTAGTCACAAAATGCAACACAATAACACCAACGGATGACGTCAATGGCACCAACTGCCGTACAATGACACGTCACTAACGGCCACAACGACGCTCAGGCGGGGCCTAGCGGGGGAATGCGACAATCACGAATCCGAACACGAACTCAAACACGACATGGTGACAGCCCCAGTTCGACGGCGAACTGGCGGTATAACGCCGTATAATATACACTGAGTGAACCTCGTCGAAATCCCGTTGAAATGGGCCAAAAAATAAAGTAAAATTCTAAAACCTATAATAGATAGAGCAGCTTCATTTCACATATAGCAGCCACTCGCCTGGCGCCATGTACTTGAGGGTGCCTGCGTCCCTTTCCTTTGTGGATAAGTACTGACTGCGTCTGAATGCAAAACAAAATTAGACAGACAGACAGACAGACAGACAGACAGATAAACAAGCAATAAGGGATGATCACAGCCGTCAGCCCGGCTAATGAAGGGATAGGAAGGGAGGGGGATACCACGAACTACAGGCGATTGGAGCAGATACTACCAGGGGAAGCGGAGGAAGAGATACTGCAACGATGCAGTTCGGATGAGGGGGCCCCCTGCAGAGCTTGGCTCCGGGAGGTGGGACTCAGGTCCCGATGTGAGGGGGGGTACGGGCTGCGTCCGCGCGCGTGTGTGTATAGGTGTGTGTGTATAGGTGTGTATGTATAGGTGTGTGTGTATAGGTGTGTGTGTATGTGTGCATGTATGTGTGTATGTATGTGTGTATGTATGTATGAAACGGAACAGCGTGTTTTGACGTGCCTGTTCCTCCGTTCCTAAGGCACTGTTTTCACAATCGTAAATAGAACGACCCAGCACTAAGGAGGCACCCAATTCGATGTTGTTCACTTCCCTTCCGAAAGCCCCTCCACACGGACACCGCGAAACACACCACAGCACGAGAGCCGCTCCGAACCACCCCTCTCAAATTTCTCCTTCCCGCCCACCTCGCCCCACCCCACCTTACCCCACCACACGCCCATACACAGACACGCATACACACACGTACTTGTGTCGTGCCAGTCCAAAGTCCGCGATCTTAACTGTCAGGCGTTGCTGCTGCTGGTGCTGCTGCTGCAAAGCGGTTGTTGTTGTTGTTGTTGTTGTTGTTGCTGCTGATGTTGTTGTTGCAGTTGTTGGTGCTGTTGGCGCTGTTGCCGCGGGCAGTGGTGGCGGTGCGGAGTGTCTGATGAGGACGTTGGCGGGTTTGAGGTCCCGGTGTACGATGGCGGGGTGCAGTTCCGCAAGCCCTGCGGCGATGGCTCGGGCGATGGACAGCACCTCGTCCAGGGGCACGCAGTTCTGGCCGGTAAAGGGGAGAGGGGGTTAGGAACGGGGGTTAGGAAAGGGAAGGGAGAGGGGGGTAGGAACGGGGGGTAGGAAAGGGAAGGGGAGGGGGGTAGGAAAGGGAAGGGGAGGGGAGTAGTAAACCCCTCTATCTTCCACGATGGCAACATTACTAGCATATAAATTGGTTCTCACTGCCGTGCACCATTACACAGTACCGTACACCACGACGCACTGCCATACACCGTTACACACTGCCGTACACCGTCACGCACTGCCGTGCAGTACCTGGCGTCGCCGGTGAATGTAGTCGTACAGGTCGCAATCCATGAGTTCCGTAACCAGGGCCACGTGGTCTGGCGGCGCGGCGGCGGCGCCGTACACCGTGATGATGTTGGGGTGATGACGTAAGCGACACAGCATGGATATCTCCGTGGTGAGTGCGCGCATGTCCCGCACGTCCCGTGGGCCACCGTGAAGTACCTTGACTGCGGCCGGCTTGTTACGGAACACGGCCTTGTACACCGCCCCAAAGGCGCCCCTGTAGAGAGCAGTTCACATACGGCAGCAGCAGTAGCAGCATTAGTAGCAGTAGCAGTAGAAGTGGCAGTAGAAGTGGCAGTATTCGCACATGAACATCCCCAACAGTGGCAGTAGTTCCTTTCTGTGCACTTGATTATCATCATTTGATTCCCTCCCCCTCCGTCCCCGGAGTTTCCGCCCCTATCTACCTTACAAACCTTAAAACCATACACGCTGCAATTCACCTGTTACGCACGATGGACCCACCATCACAATATGCACGTCAAAACAGCCCAATCACGTCAAATTTCTCAAACACGCCTGCGCCCCACACGTCTGTATGTCTGTCTGTGTCTGTCTGTCTGTCTTCCTGTCTTCCTGTCTGTAATGTATGTATGTATTGTATGTATGTATTGTATGTATGTATGTATGCATGCATGTTTGTATGCAAGCATGTCGTATGTATATGTCTGTATGTATGCATGTATGTATGTATGCATGTATGTATGCATATCTGCCTGTTATAGACGTACAGACATACAGACGCACCTTCCCAGGCAGGGCCCCCAGCCAGTGATATCCCGATGGAGGTCCAATGTCGGCACGTCGGGACCGAAATTGAGCAGCTCGCCGCCGCCGCCGCCGCCGCCCTCCTCGTTCCCGCCAGCGCCCACCAGCCACAGCCCGCCAGCCGCGGCATGTACGGCAGCCGGCAGCCCAAAAGGCCCAGGAGGAATCCAATGGGGCGCGAAGCAACCGGGGAGACCTACAGCCTGCAGTACGACACATGCAGTGTATGGTGTACGGTGCCGTACCGATGTGTGGACTGTAAGGTAGGTGGAAAGGGTGTGGGGTCGTGAACCGGAGCCACGAGTGTGTCACCACTACAACTACCACTAGGCTTTGCTGTTGGGCATTGGCGGTGAACAGAGCGTGTAAGGGACGGCGTTGTATACCTAGGGAGGAGCGAGTATGCCCCTGCTGCGGCAATGATAGCCATATTGAAGATGAGAAGCACGTTTTGCTGGACCGTCCGGTGTACGAAAAAATCAGATCTGGTATGGATTTCCCACGATTCGAGCACATGAAGGACGCTGTGAAGTGAAGTGGGAACCTGAACGTCTGGCAAGGATGCTTGAACGTATGTGGTCCCACCGCAACTCTATCGTTCCCTTTGGTCGTTAGTATCCTTTTATCACTTGTTTTGCCTGACGTGCGAAGTAGGACGGTGCTTATAGGCGATCTGGCAGCCCTTGTTCCCTCGGCTCGTATTGGGCGGTTTGCAGGTGCGGGTAACGCACCCCACGACCATGTAACACACACACAACTACCGCACAAACCGGCACACTCAGCAGGCGGCGCAGATGTGTGCGAATGGGTGGCTGATACACTTTAGAAGGTTTTTTGGGAGTCAAAGAGAGCGAAGGAGAGAGAGAAGGAGAGACAGGGGAGTCTGGAAGCTTATTGGGGTAAGTGGGGAAAAGAGAGAGAAAGGGGCAGGGAGGGGGGAGAGGCGCAAGCTGCGCCTTTCAGATACTCTTTTTCCCAATCCCCCGCCGACCTGCCGCCAGCTCCCACAACCCCAATGAACGTACCCGCAAGTGTACGGAAGCTTCCGGCAGCGGCAGCGGTGCAGGAGCAGCAGCCATTGCTGCCGCCACGCCCCCTCCCGCCACCGGGGCCCCGCCGCGGAGCCGCCGCGGGGGCCCTCCCGCCGCAGCCACCGCTGGCGAGTACGGCGTAAGGGAGTCGGTTTCGGTGCGGCCGTCAGCACCGCCGACGCCGCCGCTGTCGAGGTCACGCGGCGCCGCCGGCGACGCCGGGGTCTCCTCCAGGTCGGCGTCCTCAGGCGCCGGCGGAGGCGCCAGCAGCCGGCCTAGGACCGCCGGCGGCGGCGCCTTCGGCGCCCTGCCTTGCATCGCCAGCATCAAAAATGGACTATGGTTAACTGCCGCCGCCGCTGCCGTACGGTGGACCTGCAGACCCCCAGGTGACGGCGGCGAGGCCGCCGGGGGTGCTGGCACCACCAGCCGCCGCGAAGGCGGCGGCGGCGGCGCCGGTTGCGCAGGCAGCTCATGGCCGCCGCCGCTGCCGCCGCTGCTGCGACCGTGATCTTCGCAGTCGCTGGCGTCGCGGTCTTCCTCCGCCACCGCTACCGTTACCTCCGCTTCTGCGGCCCCTTCCGCGGCACAATTATTGTCAGCGCCCAGGGGGCGTCCCGCCTCCCACAGCCCCGCCAGCGTCGTCACCAGGTTGAGCTTCCGCAGCGCCATGACACTCGCCTCCGTTGGCCTCAGGGACGGCTGCTGCTGCTGCTGCTGCTGCTGCTGCTGCTGTGGCGGCGGCGGCGGGGCTCCCTGCGCGACTGGGCCGTCGTGGGTCGCCGTGTTGCCGCCGGCCGCCCTGGCGGTGCCGTTACCACTAGGCGCCGTCACCATCGCTGTTTCAGCGGTAGTGGCAGCGGCAATAGCAGCGGTAGCGGCAGCGGCAGCACTACTGAGCGGAAGGTCGAAGCCGCGAGGGACAACGTTAACCACCGCCGCCGTCGCGGCAGCCGCGGCAGTGACGCTTGTGACCCGTGGGTCATTGTCAGTACCACTACCGCCGTCACTGAAGGCTTTCCTACCTAAGCTGACATTACTACCGCCGTTACTGCCGCCCGCGGCAGCGGCAGCGGCGGCGGCGGGAGCGGCGGCGGTGGGAGCGGCGGCGGTAGTGGTAGCGCCATCCCAGCTTCCCAGTACGACAGCGCGCTCGACGTCAGTCGCTGAGTCATCAGCGCTCTGTCGATCGCCGTCACCACGCTGCTGGACAGCTGCTACGTGCCACGTTGCAATTGCGCCTGCTTGCGCCGCTGCAGGTTTTTCGCCGTTTTCGAGGTCTCGGAGCTGCATCCCAGCCGTCTCCGAAACCACGATTACAGCTGGTTCGGCGGCACAGGCATCAGTCAGCACCTTCTGGCGCCGCGCAGCCGGCTGCAAGTCTGAGTCGTCATCGTCGTCAAGTACGGCGGCGGTGACGTCAGCAGCCGCAGGGTGATGCAGTTGCAGTTGGCGCTGCTGCTCTTTCAATTTGGCCAAGTGCTGGGCTGCTAGGTTCCTAGAGATATGACGTGCGGCGTGAAGCCTCATTAACGCACGTGATGCAGACGTGGCGGCGGCGGTGCCGGCGCCGCTGCCGCCACCACCGCCGTACGGCAGCGCAGGTGGTGAGGATGGTGACACGAAGCCTGATGCGGATGACGATGGAGAACACAAAAGTGATGGCGGGGGGTTTGTTCCAGGTGAATGGCCATTGGCGGCGGCGGCGGCGGTGCCGGCGGCGGCGGCGGCGGCGGCGTCATCACGGGTCGTCCCCTCTCGCCGCCGGCGAGCGCCTGACGCCATGACCTGAGCGCCCTGCCGTACCCTGTACGACAACAGACCCAACTTGTCTTCCAATTCCAGGTCCTTTGGCTGCTGCATCTGCTGTTGCTGTTGCTGTAGCAGCGCTTGCCGCATCTGCTCTCGTAGCTGTAGCAGCTCAGTGTCCACATCCTGTGATTGAGCACAACGCAGCGGTTAGCGCTAGTTTACAATTCTCGGTTAGCCAACATTGTACTACAGCTACCACGGTGCTCATTTCAGGTCGTCAAGTTTAATAATGGTTTTCGTATTTTTGCCAGGCTTTGCAATAATTATAAAAGTACCCAGCTATTCGGACGAGTGGCGGCAAATTGATGAGTGGTGGCAAACCGATTTGTTGGGAACCTTTCCCCCACCAGGACACCTCCACCGCCGATTCAGGAGCTGGAACACAGCACTGTCACCACCACTAGCCACTGACCACACGACCGTTACCCCTCTCCTCCCCCCTCCCCCCCGCCGGCAAACAACATACACATACAAACAAAACTGCTCACCTGGTCTCGTTCGGCCATCTCCACGTCGAGATCAAGCGAGTAAATCACCTGCCGTACGCGTTGTAGTACGGCAACATCATCATGGGACGCTGCTGCGGTCAGAGCCGTCATGCTGGTGGTGCTGGTGGTGCTGTTACGGTTAGTTGTCGCCGTTTCCGTTGTCGGTTTGTTCGTTAGGTCCGTGTCTATCTCCTCGGTGTCCGTGGTTGCGGGCGCTGTATCCGCAATAGCCGCTGTCACGGACAGTGTAGATTGACTCGTTGTGACGGCAGTAGCCAGTGCGCTGCTGGGTTTCCTGTCTGGCACTGGAACTGGAGCGCAGTAGCTCTGGACCAGATCACTCAGCTGCGCAATCCGTCACCCCGACATCAGCATGGGAATGAATCAGTTTACCAGTCACGGCACGGCACGACAGTGAAAGCGAAAGCGAAAGCCAACACGGCAAGCAAGATCTGACTTCCTTAAGTTGCTTCAAACAAACATCTTGAAACGAAGAAAATTGGAACTAGGATTTGGATTAACTTAGGAAAGGCATAAGACCCATGACGGGCAACGGGGGAAAAAAGCTGCATCGAGTGCGGAGTTCGTGCGGATGATTGGGGAAGCGGAGTCGTGGTGTATGTATTGGCAAGAGAGATTGGAGCGGGGGCAATACGAGGGCACAATAATGAGAGTCCGACGGCCAGCCAGCCAACTAGGTATCCGCTTCGACGCCTAGGGTGCGAGGGACAGAGGACATAATGGGAACAAATGCGTGAGCATGTCACTGTGCTTCCAGTTGCTGCTGGTGCTGCTGCATGTCCTTCAAAGGAGAGACCCACCGCCAGCTCCATGCGGCTTTTGGTTTCTTCGCATTCCAAGCGGTAGTATGAGACGTTGGACAGCAGCGCGTGCAGCTCGTCCAGCGCGGGTTTGTACCGGGCATCGCTGCCCAATCGTCCAGGTAGAAGGAGCACCGATGATTCTAGTTCCTACACAATGTAGAAGTTGATGTAGAGGTTAAATAATAAGAGCGAAGCGAAAATGCGTGTGTGAGCGTCAAAATGTACTCCAACGACTGAGCAACGGTTTTAACTGTATTTCCCCAAAGGCACGAAGGCTTGAAGATTTTTACCGTCATTCGTGAAAAGAATGTGCGAGACCTACCTGAAGGAGCTCCGAGAGCTCTGACAGTAGGGCGTATCCTAGGAGGTAGCGCAAAATGTCAGTCGGGTGGTATCCATCGCAATATGCGATCCGGGCAAAAGCATCATAATAATGGCGCATTCGCATATACCTGATTGTACACCACCACCTTGAAGACTGGCAACGCCCAGAAGCTGGCAGTGCTCATGGAGCCTATCGAGAAGCTCCTCAATTCCCAGCCCATAGTGCTCATAACGAGCACGTTCCAGCTCGCATACGAAGAGCTGTAGTCTACATGCCACGGTCGTCAGGACCTTTGAAGCTTTGCTACGGTCTGGCAAACAGTCTGCAGACCCGAGGATACGCGTGACCGCTCTACGAGTTGCCACTCCAAGTGGTTTGCGAGCAGCAGTCATTTCTTTATGTAATAAGCTATTTTTTCACGTTGTCGAAGTAACTAATCCAAGGAAATTTACAAGGGACGGGACTCTTACAGGGTGCTCACAGCACCCTGTAGGAGGATGCAAGCGTGATGTCTATGGTAACCCTCATCCAATATTGCTTACCGATGAAGATGCGACAGCGACACACTGACAAACCGTTTCTATTCGTACGAAGGCGTCGTACACCTTGCGATAACCAGGCTAACGGTGTTGCCGTGTTCAGTGGAAAACGCCGCCGAGGCATTTCCCAGGCCTTACCCTACCAAGGCACCATACGGGACCATAGGTGGTCTGTATAATTATCGCGCATGCGGTTCATTTAGGCGTGCTCTCCCCCGTCCCCATTTCGTGTCAGGTATGGTATGGTATGGTATGGTATGGTATGGTATGGTATGGTGTCGCGACAACAGTTTATTTCGTTGGCAAGTCACCATTTTTCAATCACGACAGGTGGGAATTTGGGGTTTTGCATCGTTATAACGAAGACCCGCATATCGGCACTGATACCGAGATGTACGACCGTTGTCGCCTTTGCTCAGGAAGGGGACAAAACACGTAGAAAGGGAATAACTTGGTAGATCCAAAACCCGACACACTGGACAGCTTCCTCCTGCTGACGGAACGCAAAAAACATCGGCATTGGCTGCCAGGGCTGCCGCACAACAGCCGGAGTGGTTACAAAACTGTAGCGCCTCCTTCGCGTTAAGGACTATTTCCGTTGCTATGATTTTGACACTCGCAAGTTATTAATGTACATCAACATACCGCCAAGCCATCGTCGGGGATGATATTGTTTTACCGTATTAAGAATAATTAATCGAATGGATAGCAAAAATCCAACCAAATCAACAGCAGCAAGCTACCAAATATAACGAACCAACTGCACCAACGAATACAGCGCCCAAACTGCGATGGTGCAATTTCATTATTGTGGAAAAGCGCACCACGATGAATACATGGAAATCCCGAGCTGTCGTTTTTTAATATAATTGCATACCTTTATATAATTGCATACCTTTTTTTTGGACGACAAGCACTGAATTGGCCTTTCTAGAACAACAGGGCGACTAAGTACCAGTACCAGCACGGTGAGCAAGACGAAGTTTGCGCATTGCGTTCTTCACCCTCTTCCTCCCCGCCTTTCATCTCGCACACAACCCAGCGACCCAAACCCTAAGTCGACACAGAGCAGCTGAATGATTCCCTTGCAATGGACCGACCACCTATCAGCTCCTCTTCCGCATGGGCCTTATGCGGCACTGCCACCAAACCACCTTTTTACAAGGCCCCTCCTGACGACTTCATAGCCAACCACCTAGCCAACTACCTAGCCAACCACCTAGCCAACCACCACACAGTCGTCACAAAGGGGCTAGCCTTGCTCCATGCCACACAGGTAATGCTACATCCGAAACGGACTCTCCTTACTTCCGGCGGCGTAAGCATTGAAACAAAGACAATCTGCCTAACAGGAAGCCACGAACCTTCATGGTTAGGGATGGCTTCAATACAAGTTAGCAGAGCAACTTTAGATGAGCAACCCGGTACGACGTGTAAAAGTGGGTTGCCGTACAGCGTAAGGGACTGGGAAAAATCTACTCGTAAGGGATACGTTTTACGTAAAAGATAAATTCTGCATATCCGGCAAGAACCCCCTCCGTAGAACCATATTGCTGGTATAGCACCAGATATAGCAACGAAAGTTGAGGCAGTGCCCCGTACAACGATGATGCAGGTAGGTGGCCGCCTCGTAATTTGTGATGCAAGCCAATCCCAGCTCTCCGTAGCCTACCTCTAAAACCAGCTCCTCCATGTTGGGGCCCCAGATTGCATCAGCCATCATGGTTAGCGTAGATGATGATCTTCGTGCAATTCTGCTCTGAAGGGCACACACACTACCCCGCAATTACACGGCATGGTGAATTGAGGTGCCGTACCCCCAGCCTAGCGTCATAAAGCACAGATGAGTTAACTACAGAGGTAAAGAGAGAGAATGATATGGAAGAAGATAATGATAAGACAAGACAGCTCTGGACCGACTGTACGACAAGTAGGTGGCTCAGGTGACTTTCCACAGCCCAGAATCGTGTGTAATGCCAGGGTAACAAAACTACAATAAAAAAACACAAATTGGAATTATCAAGGACATCCTTCCACCATGAAGCTAATTTTAAATTCAACAATACCCGACAGGGCTTATAGATAAGACGCCGTTAATGCCCACTCCATAAACCCTACCGCCAGGCAGGACACGCCAACTTTACGGGAGCGGGCATCTCACCACTAGGGGCACTGCAGTCCTATTCCCGGCGTTGCATTTTGCCAACTCCCACCATAGCCGTGCCCACGTGGTGATGCCCCTGGTTGCATGTTGCCCCTCACAGCTGACAGTCACCGTTGCGCAATGGACAGCGATATACATGTCATGCCAACGAAGTACATGCCAAAGTACATGCCATGTACTCGCGCTCTGCCGGCTCGATGTAAGCGCCGTTCCGTTCCCGGCATGCGCGCGCACACATATACAGGCGCGCGCATCGTCCCCGTGCCACACGCTTCACAGCAGCAAACATACATACACACACGCACACACCTACGCCGTTTCGAAATGATTTCCGCCAAAGCTAACCCAAGGAAGCTACTACGACAGGACATAGACAGCTCCCCCAAGATTTAAGGTTCGCTAAGGGCGATCCCGCGCTCTGCGCTTTTCACGCCAGCCACGATCACGCTACACGCTAGTAGAACAAAAGCAAAAAGCAGAAATAGGAATGGACTCAAATCTCTTTCGTGCTCACTTTTGCGAATGAGCCACGCACCAGCGCGTTGCCAAATCAGGCAGCTGTAACAACAGGTGTGGATTTGCCACCCATCGCAGCTGCAGTTGCTGTGCACAGACCGCACCATTTTCGCCTCATCATGGTGCCATTATCACATAACATATTTGTCGTGGGACTAGGAGCATTGAACTGCAATAACCATATAAATGCACTCCTGCTGTAAAATGCATGAACGTAGCGCCCTGCCTAAATAGGACCCCCATTAGGCGGTCGATGCAACGCACAACACCCGCTACCCATGCCATCATCATCATCATAGCCTCCAAGGAGGCCGCTTTCCGTACAATGTACAACAGCCGTTCAGCATTTCCTCCTGGAAACAATTCGCATCCCGAAACAATCCATATGACCACAACACTAGCACAAGTCACACACCAAATGCCAACCGTCCACGGCATAGTACACGTCACCGTACTTCACCGCTGCACAGAACAACATCTGTCTACTACACCTGTACGCCTTTGCGAAGACGTACATGGAGCACATGGCCTGGCTCGGTTACCGCGACACGCTGCCACCTCGCTCCGCTACCACACACCGACTTCTACACGTACAACTGCAAACACGAACACAAAGCGGCACCATCTCATCAGCAAGGACAAGGCTATGGAATAGGTGCACGACCGCTGCAGCTACCTCCCAAAACTGAGGCCTATCCTCAACCAACAATGAACCAAGCAACCAATCCCCCCAAAAAGCAATCAAGACAAATCCCGCAATCCACACACGCCTCTAAAGGCCCCTCCTACCCCATAAACCGGTGATCTGGTTCGCACACGTCGTCGTTGCGAAGCAATAGGGAAACCCTACTTCCCCCAAAAGAACAACGACGATGACAACAACACAACTAATTTGAAACAATACAGCTAATTATAATAATGCCCAAGGCGCTGCTTGCACCACCGTCATGCCAGCGAACAGAAGTACAATCACGCAGGTGCACATTAGCTCTTTAAGCATCGCAAGGACATGCAGGAAAAACAACTACAATTGCAACGGCTAACCGCAACTGCCCAACTGCCAACCCACCTTCAACGACGCCCCTTGAGCCGCACGCAACAATTTTTCGTGACCTCGCGGCTATATGAGGCAGTAGATGACAATAGACGATAGACAGTAAGCGAAAAACTCCTGCGACGTCTTTGTGTTTTGCATCATTATAATTTTCTTCTCTAGACCCCTCCATTATCATCATATGGACAACAGCCACACCAGCATTGTCAGTTGAAAACTGACAACCTTGCGTCCCCTCCTAACAACAACAACAACAGCAGCAGGGTGATGTGGAACGCATTTTGCACGTTGCTAGACAAAACAGACAGATAGAGGCACACACACACAGACAGACACTTTCACAGCACTCAACGGCGCAGGCGGGAATCCACCAATTGCTCAGATAGCGATCAGGACGGAGGAGGTTGACCCAGCGGCAGCGGCAGCGACAGCGCCACCGTACGGCATCCCCGTAGCCGCAGCGGCTGCGCGCGCCTCTTCCATTGCCACTCGCTCCATCGCACCCACCAAGTCGCTGGTCTGGTGCGCGCCGTTCAGCGAGTATTTCGTACGGCACTTGGGACCGGCGCTGATGATGAAATGCGGTACGGCATGGATTCGCAACCTGAATAACGAGTGGGTGACACGCGGGCAAAGATGACAGAGCAGCCGCGAGACGATACAGCACCCAGTACCCCGTACCGGTAACACAGGATATCTCGCAGCTGCTGCTGCTGCTGCTGGTGATGGTTACGATAGCAGACGCTGTGGCTGCCGCTGATGTAGGAGGGTAGAGCGGGTGCGGATGTGGATATGGTGCAGCAACCGCTTTCAGCTGTTCATGCGCCTGGTGTAGGTTTAAAATGATCCAAGAGACGCGACGAGGGACCGGCCGTGAAGGTCCCCGTCCATGGCTCCACAGGCCCACCCCACGGACCCACCTCCTTTTGGCAGTCGCATCCCGCTCCAACACCCCGGCCCGCAGCGAGTCGCCGTCCGACCTCGTGAGCTCTCGACCCAGATCGCCCCGCGACATGCCCATGCCCAGGGACTCCCCGATGTCGAGCAGCTCGCTAAGGAGCGACACGTTGCCGCCCAGCTCGTACCTGTACGGCACAAAGAGAGAAAAGTAGGGGAGAGAAAGAGCGTGGGGCAGGGGCAAGAGCGTGGGGTTAATATTGTGTTGTGTGCAGGCATACAGCAGGAAAAGGTCGTATATACCTGCCGATGTGGGGGGCAAAAAAGGGCATACATAGATGGGTGCAATGATCTTATTGGTTATTTCAGCAGTGTTGTCTGTGTAAGACGCCATGATGCGAGGTGGATGTGGCCGTGCGTGGTGTGGTGTGCTCTCTGCGAGGTGAAGTCGAAGGAGAGGACAACCACTGGGGTACGGGGTAACCACCGGGGATATCTCAACATCTCATTTACTATGTGTCGTGTGTATGTCTGTATTGGTGTGTTTTTATTGGTGTGTTTTTATTGGTGTGTTTTTATTGGTGTGTTTTTATTGGTGTGTTTTTATTGGTGTGTTTTTATTGGTGTGTTTTTATTGGTGTTTTTATTGGTGTTTTTATTGGTGTTTTTATTGGTGTTTTTATTGGTGTTTTAATTAGTGCTTTTATTGGTGTCTGTATTGGTGTCTGTATTAGTGTCTGTATTGGTGCCTGTATTGTTCTTAGCAAAGAAGGAAAACTGCAATATGTTACTCCTGGTGAAGATAGGGAGAGGGAAGTGGGCCTAAATCTGAAGGAACCTTAGACGACCCCAGGAGGTGTCATCGCGGCCCGGGTTGCATCTGGATGCATCTTGACACGGCCAGTAGGCTACGTAGTGGGCTCGTGTTGACACCACCATTCCCCACGACGCCGTATTTCTCAAGTCACGACTGGTTGGTAAGTTCTTAAAGATATTCCTGATCCAGTATGTATATCTGTCTACTCTTGATGTATTCGTCTATCTCTGGTATCAGCTTTACCCGCTTGTGGTTCGTAGATCAACGCTTTAACCCCTCCCTCCCTCACACGGTACACCGCGAAGGTATATACGATTGCGACCCATGCCACCGTATCTCCCCACGCCATCGCAGGGGATAAAACCCTTCTCCCCTGAAAGACGCGGTAAAATTTGATAATCATTCTGTAAAAAGACACCAATGAACACCCATATCTTAGCATAGGAAAATCCCTGTGTGTCCACCTTTCCTTTTTTATAACGTTAGATACTTACGTCCGCGCGAAAAGCAAGTCGCTGGCCTGCTCGGCCAGGCCCATGTCCGCCGCGAGAGAGATGAGCTCCAAAGCCATGAGGGAGTTCGGCATCGTGGTCCAGTTGCTAAAGGTTGCGCCTTCTGGAAGCCCGGCGCGGACCAATCGTGCGTGGAGGGGATCTACACTGCCAAGACCCCAGCGACGCTGCGCGTAGCTGTTGACTTCCTCACCTGAGTGCGAAGGCAGAGAGGAATTGGTAAAAGATAGAAAAAATAACCCCTTAGAGATCAGATGGACGATGGCGGTTTGGGTCACTATGAGGCGTAGTGCATGGTCACATGTTAAAGGTGGCCGTTTTACACCTGCTTACCAGCTGACATTACTTCGCTGTCCACAAGAAGCGGGTTCCTGCACGTGCGACAAGGTATAGCATCAGGTGAAGGGCTTTGCTGTTCCATGGTTAGGTGCCGGCGCGACGTGACGCGACGATGAATGACGGATGATACAGACAGGCCGACCCACCACTGCAATTTGACAGGGGCAGCTTGCCCAAAGCGCCGTTTGTATTGTCGAACGGCCCTCTGCAACCGTCGCGCTCCGATGTGGCACCTGCACGCATGCGCAGTCAAACGACAGAATTGCGTAGATAAGCACCAGACCGGAAATCGTTCTTTCTCGTACACGCTATGCAGCTCCTGGGCAACCATCCCGGAGGAAATGGGCACCGGGCAGTAGAATATGCCTCGGGAAATCCGATGATACGCGGCCAGGCAGAATGCAAACGTCACCCCAAACTATTCCCTGTTGCTTACCATGGACATGCTATATCATTAAATACGTGAACTGTCACAGGAGGCAACGGTCCAGACCGCTGCGAGGCCTGCGCTGGCCCCGGCCTGGGCAAGGCTTCCGGCAGTCTAATCATGTTCAAGGGGATTCAGCTAGATATTCTAAGTGCAATACTTGTGAATTTATTTTCGTCTGGCGGCTAGAGCAACTTTTCGCAGGACTAAGCGCGCTTGCTTGCTGCACCACCCAGCAACGTCAACGATTGCATAATGAATTATTCAACATGTTTCCCACACAATTTGCGCAAGAACACACTGTCCAACGAAACATTGACAATCCAAATCTGATGTGACTGAGGTACTTGGTCGGTTTCGGAGACAGGCAACGAAATTGTGCTCTCGGGTCTCGGCCTGTCAAACCAAGCATTTGCCCTAACCTATGTTTGCCATTCCTGATAAGCTTGCGGTTGAAACTTGATCCATGGTTAAGTCTTTGTGTAAAGCAATTGTTCAAAGTCCTAACAAGCTGCGGTTACTTCCCACATGGAAACCGTCCTCATAATACACTCGGGCTCAAATTCTACGGTCGGCCTTTTTTAACTTCGTTTCAAGATATAAGATATAACTAATTCCATCCGTTATGCCCCGTCAGCAAGCTCGTTGACCCGAAACCAGGACGACCGCATTACATGGACCGCCCGCCTGCACCTCTTCAGGTATCCGGTCGATTAATTGGGGGCCCACCCTACGGACGCGCGGGCGCGCCCGTCAGCTTCGACCCATCCGCTGCCGTTCCTGGCCCGTTAACAACCGCCAAGGCCCCGCATGCCAAGGACTACGGGTCTTGTTTTTCTGAAGGCTTCCTACAATTCCTCAAAAGCGGCGAGCTTGCCGACGTGGTAGTTGATGTCGTTGCGGACGACACAACTGTTATCGCTGCCACCTCTTCTTGTCCGACAAGCTGCTCCACGCCAGTCCTCGCCGCATCTACCTCCCTCCCACCACCGGCTTCGGCACTCCCCACTGCCTTCCCCACGTCTCTCTCCTCTTCTCTCTCCTCCTTAGCTTCCTCTCCTTTCTTAGCCAGCGCCGCCACATGCGGAAACGCAACAACAGCAGCGGCGCCGGCGCCGGCGCTAGCCGCCTCCTCCTCCTCCTCCGTTTCCTCCCCCATATACGGCCTGGGAGAATATCGCCTTCACGGTTTGCTCCTCGCGCGCCATTCCGCCTTCTTTGCGGCGGCCTTCGGCCAAGACCATTTCGCCGACTCGGCTGCACGGCGCATCCGAGTCACCTTAGACGCCGCCGCCACGCCCGCATGGCCAGCTCTGGTCGAGTACTTCTACACAGACCGTGTACGATTGGACGATTCAAATGCACTGCCGTTGCTGGCTTTGGCGCGTCAGCTGCTGGTTTCGGAGCTGGATTCGTACTGTATGGATTACGTGTACGGCAGGCTGTGCGTGGCCAACTGCCTTGTGTATATGCGGGCGGCGGTGCGGTTTGCCTTCCATGATCTACATGCTGAATGTGTGGCCCTGGCGGCGCAGGGTACGTGTGTATGTATGCATGTTTTCGCATTCGTGATGTCCGTACACTCACTCAGTAAATGGCCCCGTCTTTCACTTCTCCTTACGAAGAGGCTGCGCGAATAACAATGGCAGTTATGGCAGCCGTTAGTTATATCCGGTATAGTTAGTTGTATCCGGTATAGGGCCCAAGGAAGATTTTATTCCTCCTCCTCCTCCTCCTCCTCCCTGCTGCTAACCTCCTGCGCCCTCCTGTAGGCTTCCCCCTGCTGTACGGCAGTGACCTTTCCGGGTTGCCGCCCGGCAGTTTGCTGGAGATCCTCACGCACCCGGAGCTGCAGGTCCATTGCGAGCTGCAGGTAGGGTACGGCACACCGTACCGTGTACGACGCCATGCCCGCCTTCCGTTGAAGTCCTTAAGAGTAAAGGCGTGTCTGTGTTTTTCCTCGTTGGGTTCCCGTGCTCCCAGACATCTGTACTGATATGTATCGCCTTTCGCCTGTTTGCCCGTTTTCCTTTTGAAGGTGGTTGAGGCGGTTACACGGTACCTCGCCACTACGGCGGTTAGTACGGAATCTCAGCGGGCCTTATGTTCTCAGGTGCGGGGATTATTTCCCGGACCAAGATGAAAACGGGAACGGCTTTGTGATTTTGATCTGAAGGGAAAAGGGAGGCGTTGGCTGCCAAGTAATGGAGGAGAGGGGGGATAAGCGAGATGGGGGGGCATTTGAGTCTTCGTGTGTGTTTTGTGATTCTCGTGCCATTATGCCATTAAAGCGCAGGGGCACGCCTCCACCCTGGGTACGCTACTTCGGGAGAGAACTCTAAAAACGTCACGCCTTTCGGCTTTCCCCGGCGTTGACGTTGCCGTTACAGATCCGGTTTCCGTACTTGGACAACGCGACCATCACGCGGCTTGCCGTACAGCCCGGCCTCGTCCTGGCTGCCATGACTGGCGGACAGCAGCCCTCGCAGGACGTCTCAACGGCAGCGGGTACGACAACGGTGGCGACAACGGCGGCTGCCGTTGCGGACGCGCCGCCAACACGATCTGAGCACTCAGTAGGCATAGGGGACTTTGAAGCATCATCGGGGCCCGACGCGCCAACACCAATTATTTCGATGTCGATGCCGACGCCGACGCCGCCAGCTGACGCCGAGACGGGTCCCGGGAACCGCCGAGGTTTAGACGCCAGCGAGTCGATGCCGATGGCAGCTGCCGACGCCGTCGGCAGGCGCAGTAGCGACGGAGCGGCTGCTGGGAGCAGCTCCTCGGCAGTAGCCGTAGAAGGAGATATCGCCGCCGGGGAGGGTACGGCAGCAGAAGACGAGGTGTACGGCGACGGCGGCAGTGGACCCCTGGCGCCACATGCTGCAGCCACCGACGGCGACAGCGGGGGCCTGCTTTCCGCCAGCTCCTCTGCGGCCTCATCACCGAGGTCGTCCAGCTCTGGCGGCGGCGACGCCGCCGCCGCCGCTGAGGGACATTCCTTGCCGTACAACACGTCACGATCAGATCCAAGTTCGTACAATTGCCGCCATGAACAGGATCTGCGGCGGCAGCAGCAGCGGTGTGGAGCCGATGGCCAAGCGGTGGCACCGCCGGCGGCGGTGCAGCAGCAAGAAGAGCAACAACAGCACCACCACCACCACCACCACCACCACCATCAGCAGCAGCCTCTCCTGCCCCGGGATTTGACCTTGGAGGGTGCGATGGCTCGCTTAGCGGCCATGGAATATCACAACTCGCTGCCCCAGATTCAGGTAGGTAACAGGGGGGGATAGAGGGGATAGAGGGTGAACCACAGACGAGTGAGATGCCGAGAAAAGCAATAGATGGACGGATACTCCGCAGAGGTAATAGACAGATATAGACCTATATATACATATATACATACATACTGCATCAGGAAATTGTAAGAACTTTACCGACCAGTAGTGACCTGGAAAGTGGTCGAATCGCGGCCACGTATTGGCCATCTAGAATGCGAAGAAGCAATGGTATCCAGCTGCCGAATTCAAAGGAGAAAATCCGGGGAATGCGGTGAAGGCGGGATATGGGAGGGTGAGGGGCCCGAGGGCAGTCTGGGTTGATGGGGATGTGTTTTCCAACTCAGGGGTATTCATGATTTTTTTTATAAGAGTTTTCCATTAATCACCCCCCTAAGTTCCGCGTCCCCCGCAACCCCCGGGTAGATGACCACTTTACTTCGCGCTGTTGCCCACCGCCCACCGCCCACCGTGTGGATCTCCGTAGCCGCCCCCCGCCACGGCTGATACCGCTGCTACTGGCAAAACCACGGCCTTATCACCATCATCGTTATCATCACTACTGATCACACTGATCTTTATTTTTTATTGTTATTGTGATGATTATCGTTATATATTTATTTTTGTTGATGTTTGCGATTGCTGTCATCATTAGCAGTTCTAGTTCTAGCATGGCTAATAACGATAACAGCAGCAGCAGCAGCAACAGCATTGAAAGTACTTCACCACCCTCGATGATCATAAGGTTTAAAGCCCAGGTGCCAAACCGTACCAACGCCCGCCGTAATGCCTTCACAGAACCAGTTTCAGTACTACCCGTACGGATCTGGTACGACAGCCGGCGGCACGCCGGCGACGGCAGCGATCACCTCGGTCGCCGCCGCCACTGGCAGCGGCCGTCGACCGTTGGCGGTTTTCCGGATGAGTGGAGATCCGCAACAGCCGACGGCGGCGCCGCCGGGCGGCAGCGGAAGGCCGCATCCGCATGCCCTCGCTCACGGCCTGTACTACAGCCATCCAGCCGGCGGCGGCGGCGGCGGCGGCGCCCAAATGCCGCACCACCCGGCGCATGTAGCGGCTTCTCGAGGGGCGACGTCTGCTCGCGGACCTGGTAACGGCATTGGTGGCGTTGCGAATCAGCTCGCGCCGGGCAGCGGCGGCGGCGGTGGCGGCGGCGGCGGCGGCGCTGCAGCGGGAGGGGTCACGCTGGATGCGGCGGCGGCATTTGCGGCATTCTGTCTACCGCCGCCGCGGGCATCGTACTGCTGCAACGTCGTACACGGCCTGCCAGGCGGCTGCGCGTGGGTGGATGTGGCCCTGGAAGTGCTATGGGAGCGCTTGGTGCCGTACATTCATGTACAGGTACGAGCATGTACTGCCTGCCTTTTTGTGGTGCCCTCTGATTTGCTTTTACTATTCTACAGCGAGGGAAGAAGAAACCCAAAACCCAACCCCAAAAAAATCCCTTACTCGGCGAGGGCTCTAATCGTCCGGAGCTGCTATGGCCAATTCTATTTGTTTTAACAATTTGCTGCAGTGAGGAAGATTCAGGCTTTTCGAACACTGACCGTTTCCTGACCGCATCTTTTGCCGTTGCGCCGTTGTGCCGTTGCGCCGTTGTGCCCTGTGCAGGTCTCTGGCTGTGTCGAAGGCAATCCGCGTAACGTGATTACCTCGGATCCCGACTGCTTTTTCGAAACGAATGACAGCTCGGATCCCCTGCCTTGGGTGGAGGTGGGTTGGGGGGATACGCGGTGGTGGTGGCAATCCAGCTGAGAAATGAAATGAAATGAAAAAAAGGGGGTTTAGGAGCCCTGGGGGGCTTCAAAGCATTTCGAACGCATTATTTTCGTGGCAAGTATGTATGTATATGAAACTCGCTGGTTTGTCCGCTGAAACGTGCCCGGAGCTGGCGCCGGTTCTTTATTATTATCGTTGTTGTTGATGGGGGGGGTGTTACACCCCGCCGACTCGCGACAGTCCCGGCCCCACCATACTCAATCCCCTGTTCATCATCTTATCTGTACGGAAACCCTCTCATGTACGGCAATGCGGTACACAGGTGCACCTCCCACACAACGTCCACGTGCTGCAACTGCACAGGTACGGTATTGAATAACAACAAAGGGTATGGTTTGGGTCTTTCGGAGTGGCGATCTGGTCCGGAGCGTGTCCCACCTCCCAAAGGGGGGGAAATGAAGGGGACACGTTCAGCGGGGGGGGGGAAAGAGGAGAGCGCTGGGCATTGGGTCAACTGCACTCAAATGTATGTATGTATGTATATACGATGTATGTATGCATATATAGTTACATATGTATGTATGTATGTATGTGCTTACACGACCGAGTCGCAAAGGACCGAGCCAGGAGGGAGACACAAGTGAGGCCGTACAAATGGTACGTACGGCAAAACACCTCCCATCGTCACTGTTTTCCCCCTCAGGTACACTTTCCTTCACGGACATCGGCGAGCCGGATACTACAGAGCGCGAAATTTCAAGACCCAGATTGCCGTACGAACGGCCAACGACATTCGCAGCCCGGCGGCGAGGTCATCCTCTGCTGGCGGTGGCGGCGGAGCAGGAGTAGGAGCAGCGGGCGCAGCAAACCCCGCCGCCGCCGGTGCTGCCGGTGGCGGTCAACGGCCGGGTCAAGTCCAGGTTTTTTTTCATGGTTCCGGAGCTGCAGGCCCCCATGTGGGTGCGCCCCTGCCGCCGGCAAGTCGTTACGTGGACCTAACCACCAGGTACGGCATCACGCACGATGGTTAATGGTGGGTTTGGGAGATCGGTACGGAAGGAGGGTGGTGCATGGTAGGGGGCGGGGGAGGGGGGGAGCAAGTTATGTTCCCGAAAGTTGTGTTTCCTTCTTGATGCGCGTTTTGTGTTCCTCAGGATGGCTGACCAGTTTGAGGTGGGCGTCCTGGCGGGTGCGGCCTCCCCCCCCGGGCCCTGGCGGGTGATGAGGCTGCAGGCCACGGGGCCGCAGGAGGACGGGGTGCACAGACTGTGTGTGCGGGGACTCAAGGTAAGGTGGGCGGAATGGCCGATGCCAGGGATGGCTTAACGCGTGTATGTATAGACACGCATGTATGTATGTATGTATGTATGTATGTATGTATGTATGTATGTATGTATGTATGTATGTGTGACGCGGCATGGGTTGAGTATGACGCGGGTGGGTGGCTGGGTCTGCGGGGTGGGGTGGTCATGACTGATCATGTCATGGGAAACTGAAAAGGGCCCCGGGGGAATGGAGACAGGGCCGGGGAGAGGGGCAAAGAGCACGAGTACGACACGTACGGACGCGTACATATCGCAGTATTGCCTTTTGCTGCTATCAACCCTGGCACTAAACGTCATATTTCTGCAGATGTACGGCATTGCGCGGGTGGATCTGATGCGCCAGGCCGATGGGTTTGTCGTACAGCCCCACTGGCTGCTGAACGCACGCGTGGAGCCGGGTGGCGCTGCCGCCGCCGCCGCAGCAGCAGCAGCAGCTGCCGGCGGCGGCGGCGGCGGGGCCGGGTCTTCTAGCGGCGGCGGCGCTGCAGGGTACGGATACGGCCCTGGCGGCGGCTCTGCCGGCAACGGCGGCGGCGGCGGCGGCGGCGTCCTTCACCCTTGGCTGGCCTGGAACCAAGCATACTGAGGTGTTGTTCAGGGGCATTTAGAAGAGGTCCATCCGCACCTTTGGACCGCGACCGTGAAACGCGCTAAGGAGGTGTTGAGGAAGTGCTGAGGAGGAGGGGGAGAAATTGTAGTAGCGCCCTTGTACGGCAACGGTGTGGTGGTAGTAGAAGTAGTGGTGTTGGTGGATGGTGGTGTGATGCTGTGGGCGTTACGGATGTTCTCTCGTTAGCCCAATAGACGTCGGAAAGGTTGGGTTTTTTTACGTCACAAGGACGTTGACAAACATTTGACAACCAGATTGATGTATAAATGTATGTCTGTGTGTCAAGGTTTTGCTTTACTGCATTCAGCAAGTAAAAACGTAAAAGTTGTTGTTCTTTCATGTTTTTTATTCGGGTGGTGTTGCCTATACAGGACTGGGTTTGCTGGGCTGAATCCGCTGCTGGGTGACATCGATGATCGGCTTTTCAAGCCAACCCATCAAGCATCATCACCTGCAAAGCCCTAAAGACCAAGGACTGATTGGGGTGATGACGATAAAGTGATGGTGATGTATGTCAATGTATACGATGATAGGCCCAGGAGAGTTGGCACAGAGGATTTGGCGTCAGTTTGCACAATAGTGCTTTTGGCGTCGCCGCATTTGTCTTTGGGGAAAATCTTCCGGAAGGAATCTGGGCTGTCGTACCATGCCGTACACGTACGATGTCTCGTGGCAGTTTTTTCCTCTGAAGGCAACAGCTTTTCTCCAACGCTCGTCACCGGTTGGTTGCAAATGTCACGACGGTTACGGCATTTTCACGGCCCAAGCAATATCGTATAATATACGGACGTACGGAGCGCAGCGATGTATAGACGACAGTAGGAGACATGTACGAATAGTACGACTTGAATTTCGATGCGTTGTGTCGCTTTCCTCGATGACGATGTTGCTTTATATTACACGCGTCACAAGCAGGCTTAAGATTATTTACGATAACGTCACTTAAGCGTTTTGCTGCTTTGACAATTTTCCGTATTCGGGGGCATATGTTGTTGCTATTACACCGGTGGTAATAGTACGACTTCTTTACATGCAAACATTCTTCCTTTTCACCCCTCTCCTTGGGGCACTAGTCAGATATTTTCAACAATTCAATTCAAGATATTTTACACTTACAGACCGTATGGCCTTTGCCGCCGCGCCCTTGTTCGTTCACGACTGGGTGCCAGTTCTCATAGCATTAGGGATTTGGGGCTCCTCTCCCCTTTCGTTTTTCTTTATCCTCTCCCATCTCCCTTCCTATCTATATCTTTGTCTCTCTGTGTCTGGATCATGCATTGGACGACCGCATGCATGCTGCAAGTGGGACGGCGAATACGAGCCGGCGGCTCCGATGGCAATCGTACACTCGGTCGGTGCTTTTTGCCCTGCCGGGCTCACCACGTTGCACTGACCTACCTACATACGCGCACGAGATGTGTGCCATCATCAATTGTAAACAAGTATCAGTCGGAGTCAGCGGGGCATGTAGTCACATGCTTGGTTGGTGTTGTGGCTCTCGTCTTTTATTTAGCACCCCGCACTACTCACGCGCAAAAGCAATAATATGACCTTGGGGTCAAGGGTGATGCCCACGGTGTTGACCACATGCTTTTGAGGGGGAGTGAGCAGCAGCAACAGCTTCCTAAGACGGCTTGCATAGCACCTTGTTTTGTTTCATCCGGTTTGGCGTTGATTAGCCTAACTAGGCTCCCATGGGTTTGGATGGATGCCTGTAAGACTGATGCGTGGGGGGCCCATGCACCTAAAAACCAAGTGTAACCAGGTCAGAACTCAAATGCCCGAAAGAGCTTTTCTATCATTTTATATATTTTATATCTTTCCCTAACAATTCCCTCTGTATCTGTATCCTGGTCTTAGGTTTCCGAATTCCGCAATTCAGGATTTCGAGGGCAACGTGGGGCACGTCTGTTATGGCTCAACGGCGATATCAGCGGTCAGGTAGGTAGGTGAATAGGTGGGTAAGTAGGTAGGTAGGCAGGTAGGAAGGCAGGAGGGTATACATGTATGTATGTATGTATGTAGGTAGGTAGGGGGGTAGGTAGATAGGTAGGTAGGTAGGGGGGTAGGTAGGGGGGTAGGTAGGGGGTAGGTAGGGGGTAGGTAGGTAGGGGGGTATGTACAGGCACTGCCCCACACTTTGACATGCATGCAGGTGACTGCATCGGCCCCTACATGCGCCTACACGACTGACGCCGGTGGAAACAGCTGAGCTGGTATTCACAAACGTCCAACCCTACTGCAAACACGACTGCAACTTTTTTACCGTAAGGAACGTGTACAAACGTTTTCCGTGTTGTGTGTGCATGGCAAAGACCGTACATTCGCTTTATCTGCATCCAGCCATCCGCACCTGTCCATCCGCCTATCCGTGACCTCCACATCCAAACACCAAAACGAACTTGGCTGGGACGTTCAAACCAGTGTACGCAAAAACACATCAAAAGACCGGTGCTTGACGTACAGTAAGTCGACGACGCGGAAGCGCCGCCTGCTCTCCAGTCCGGTGACTTGCAAACGCCAGATGGAGTTGCAGCAGTCGCCATTGCTGCGCAACTCTGTGTCCTCTCAGCAACGAAGGTCACAGGTAGGGTACGGCAGGCTGAACTCTAAAACCGGAAAAGCCTCCTAATAACAACTTTTGCGTTTATACACACACACACTCTCTCTCTTTCACAAAGACGTAATCGCCCGGGATCATAATCTCACGCTTGCACATCGCCGTACAACTGAAATCCTAGCTAGCTCGGTATCTGTTTCGTAACGTAAGGAAAACGTCCACACCAATTCCACCACGTTTTCATCTTTGTATTAAATCCTGTGTGTTCTGAATTCCCCCCAAAAGGGTTGATCCCGGAGGGGCCCGAAGGCAACGAACCAGTGTCACGCACCAACAGACACGTAATTTGATTAATATCCAGCTGGGAGCCGCGGCCCCGCCGCCAGCTGCCGAGTGTCAAATTGCGTCATCCCCACCGCGTGGCCTCCTCCCCTCTCCGCATCCCGCTGCTACTGCTGCTTTTCCTTGCTTGTTGTACCCGCTGCTGCTGCTACTGCTGCTGCTGCTACTGCTGCTACCGGACATATCGTCAATTTTCTTGCATTGTAACGGCTATTCAGCTACTGTTGCTGCCGCAACATGTTGTTGCCACATGCTGCTGCAATAATAACAACAACATTATTAATAATATGCTGCTGCATTGCCGGGAAAAAAGTGCAGCACCCAGCTCTCCGCCCCATGCGCCCCGCCAATGCTCGGTTGCGAACTCGACTTCGACAATCCGGCTCTGACAACGTCACATACAAAAAACACAGCGGAGCCCTTCCCGCCGTTTTTGACGGCAACGCAGCCTCAGCGGCGCTCAGCCAAACTGGGTCCGTCAGTCCTTCAGTACTAGAACCACCTGCACCCCTCTCCACCTTCCGCCTACAGCAGCGGCGACCACCGCCAGCTCAGCCTAGCTGGTGTGTCTTCACGCCCTTTTGAAGACACCCCCTCTTCTACCACCCTTGGCAAGGCCT